TCACTATGAAAACGCAGAAGCATAAACTAGGCTTAAGTGTAGCAGATATCCTTGATCCCTAAATTATATTTACAGCTTTAGTAGAACCAGGTTGGCAGGCAGCCGAGAGCTGCAATGCACTATTTCCTATATTGTAAATCAGCACCACGGCCCATTCCTTGTAAGTGGTTCAACTAAGTCAAACTAATGTCCTATTAGCCAGCTCAAATTAACCCGATATTGATACCAGGCTATCTTGGTTCCTCAGGCTGATTTGAGGAACAAACAATCTCGTAAATTCGAACCATTCTGTTCATCCATTGCAGTCTGTCCATCCCAGGAGAGGGATCCCTCCTCTGCCGGTCTCCCTAAGGTTGCTCCCCTGTTTTTTCTCTGCATTGAAGGGTTTTTCCTTTTTTGGGGATTCTTTCCTGTACCGACGTGAGAGTTTCGGGGGATGTAGCATGTGTACAGAGCGTAAAGCCTTCTGGGACAAATTTGCAATTTTGGGCTATAAAAAATTGATCATGGCAAAATCAGTGGAGTTGGTGTTGCCATGATTATTCAATTGATGTTATGAGGCTAGACAAGATGCACAGCAAAATATCGCAAGTGAAATGCGTACGTGTTGGGATAACGAATAAGATTATTTTAAAATGGCCCACCGCCCCAAAGTTGACATTTCTTTAAATGGGCCTGCTGGCAGTAGGCTTAATGGAACGCAGCATCGAATGAGATCTTGCTAGCAAAAATAATTATCTCAACTCTTTTAGAATAAGTAGATTAAAACAAGGAGATTATCAAAGCGTATCAAATTTATATAAATGAATACTTCTGATGATATAGGTATTCTATGCGCTTTTGTATCAGATAAGTGTACATACACATGTGTATAGATGACCATGTAGAACTAGGAGTTTGAATATGTGTGTGTGAATCTGTATGGGCGGATTAGTATGTATGTATTATTCATGATCACAATTTCAATCAACTAAAGAGGTGAAACATTGAACATACATCAATTCCTTAAGCGGCAAATAAACTTTACGAAGAGCATGGCATGCGGCGGCTTTCCCGATGTTCTCCGCACCGCCAACAAGCTACAAAAATGCTCAGTGTGTGAGACAGTCGATGCTCAGCTGCGGCATCAACAATGATCCCTTAGGCAGCATTGATGGCACTCTTATAGGAAGGCATCGTGATTTGATAATGGATCTTGGTGATCTCGAAGAACTCTCCCTATAAAACATTAATCTAACTAATATTGCTCCTTCATCAATGAGGAAGAGGGCTGCCCCTTTTTTCGGGGTTGGCAATAATATCCAGCTGACTTAAATTAGCCTGCGCTGGAGCAGATTCAAGTTTTTGGATATGTTGCTATGGTGATTTTGCCAAACATTTGCTTCAACTGAAAAGCCTGACCTATCTTATCTGGAAAATGATCCAGCTAACTCAGTTAGCTACGTACGAGGAACAGGGCCATTAGCTATTAGGGAGATGGCAAGAACATCAAAGTTGCGCTACTTGCTGTCAGGAGTAAACACAGCACAGCCGGGCACATTTAATCATAAACCCCGAGGGTAAATCCAACTCTGCATAGCAAATCTGTTTAAGTCACACATCTAGCAATAAAACAAAAACAAAAGTGAAAGAATGAAAACAGAGCCTGAGAGCCAAGCAACGTTGAAAAAAAATGACCCTGGCAGAAAGAAGGGATGGCCAATCCAGTGGTGTGGATGTATGATGTATATCAACGACAGCCTGGACACGAGAGAACCGAGATACTCACCAACAGGCTTTTGTGTTTCAAGGCTCTTTCCTTTGTATGTATCAAACAGGTTGAGAGACGCATACTTGGTTTTGCCTTCCTTCCCCTTTGCAGTTTGCCCAGAGCGCTCTGACATTGCGCTGTCCGCTCATTGAGTATGGTGAGGCCTGAGACTGGGACAGAGAGAAAGTGACAGTCAAGGTACTGATTATACAAGCCGGCATTCAAAAACAACTTGTCTGTTACTTGTTCGTTAGTGCTCTTTATGCTTAATATTTTTCTTTTTAACTTTTTAATATTTTTTTTTTTTTAACTTTATTCCCTTGTTCTATACTAACCCATAGCCTTAGCCTTATTCTACTAACCCATTGCATTAGCATTTCATTCCACTTTATTTTATTACTTGTGCACTGTTGTCTTGTCTGTCTACTGTCGCGCACTAACCGCCAAGACAAATTCCTTGTATGTTTGACATATTTTGGCTAATAAATGTTTCTTGATTCCTGATTCCAAAACAGAAACAACCACACTAATCGAAATAGCCTGAACATAAGTGATGTGACCCTTCAGATTCGGCTGCTGTAGGGTCCGTACAGGGAACATCTCACCGATACAAAATAAAAGCGTGGTTAAGGATTACAGTGGTTGTTACACATAGCTGTGCATTTTTTTTTAATTACTTAATTCTAATTCTGCACCAGTTGTATACTAGAAGTAGTACTTGAGCTTCCCTTTCCAAACAAATCTCAGCTCAGAGACGTTCAGCAGTATGCCAACGAAAATAAAAGGTTAATGCAAACAAACCTAGTAGTGCTAATGCAGAAAACGCTGTGCAAAAAGAAGAGGAAATAAAAGAGCTATGGTCTCTATGGCAACACATTAAAACTGATATTCTTCTATGACTTTCCTTGGCTCCATGGCAACTGCCAGGCCTCCTATTTGTACTAATTTTCCTGCACATCAATAAAACACAGAGAGGTCACATCTGTCCAATTCGGAGAATTTTGGCTGAATTCAGCAAGTTAAAAAGCTGCCCCCAATCCACACTACTACCATTAGAAACAATTGCTGTGAACAGATCATTCTAATCAGATTAATAGGCAGAAAATAACATCAGTAATTACATTAACTTCCTTTGAATGAAGTAGTGAAATGATGCGAGCCCGCCCATATGGTCCACGGCCCTATTTCAGATCTGAATAACAAGTCTACTTTATTAGATAGCTCACAACAGCAATGTGATGAACAGTGGCCCAAACAGCGAACTCAATCCATCCGGATTGTAATGTATGCTAAAAGACTGGAATGTAAAGCAATCTGCATGTGACTGCGCACTGATCATCCTAATAATGACAGAACGCAAGGTGTCTACAATCTTTCTCAGTCATTGAGAAAAAATACATTTACGAAGCGACTGACCACCCAGCTGCAGAAAGGCATTGTGCCTCAACAGCCCTATGAGATTAGAAAATTAGGTCGTGGGGATGGCTGGTCAACTAGTTCTATGGGGATTAACGAGTGCCAGCACCAAACCGTAACGGCAACAACACAAATGTTATATCACAAAGGGCTCTCGAAACACTAAAGCTAACGATAAACACGAGCGTAATTTGGGCAGCTGGCAGCTTCGACAGTAGCAACTGTAACGACTATAAACAATCAACTGCCGAATTTACGGACGCAACTGTGTGAATTCCAGCGCTAACGTTGGATAGCTAACACAAGGCCTCTGTGTTCACGTTGGGAGGGGGACTGCGTTGGTGTTTCATAATGCATTCTCAACAACTTGCGGTAACATTAGCCCCTCTCGCTCTCAAGTCTGTGAGGTGTCTCGTTTTGAACATCACACCTACATCGCGAATGAACGCCGTTGTGGTTGCGTTCTTGCTTGTTGGTAGGAGGCACAGAGAAGAGCAGATTATATTTTTTTTTTTGTTGGGAGAACAAAACAAAATGGCGGTGACGGGCCCGGTGCATTTCAACGTTAACATATCTGGTTGTGTAGTAGAACTGGGCTAAAAGTAGGTATATTTGCCATCATGAAGAGAAACATATATTTGCTAAATAGTCCCATACAGGTTTATTGTTCATGAAAATGCCCAGTTTCAACTAACGTCGGTGTATCGCAAATTAGCTCAAGCAACGGAAGCGTCAGTGTATTCCAGGCGAACAACCGGCTCTAAGGTTTATCCGCTAACATTTGCGTTAGCTACGCACCGTGGGTCGCTGTAGCAACTAAACGTTATTACATCAACGAGCCAGGGCTAGAAGCCATCAAACTACAATTCTTTATGAAACCCATTAAACCTGCTACACAACCGAACCACTTAGTCAAGCTGTGCTATCGGTCCAGTGAACCCCCTTACATTAGCTAGCTAGCAACAACAACCAAGACATTGTGCCATTCCACGAGCATACGACGGTCCTTCCACAAAAAAGTCCTCTCCGGAAACATTAAGCAAACTTTGTGTCAAAGGCGAATGGTGATTTCTTCTTAGATTACTGTAACTAATCAGCGTTCGCATGAAGCATGCTACATTTTCCGACCACTGACCTGGTCTTGTCCCGACTTGTCTCGAGGTTGTATCGCAGAATGAGGTTAGCAATGCTATCGCGTAACGTTAGCTTTCTAGCAAGCGACCCAGCTAGCTAAGCACCGTTACCCTCCCGCATAGTCAAACACATACGGGCTGTGCACTAGATCGCAGCAAATAATAACCAGTGGCACCACGTAGATAATGAAGGTGTTCGGCTTACTTGCACTCCTTTTCTTTTTTTTCCAAAAATAAATGAAAAGGGAGAAAGAAAATTTTAATACTGGACTCGATCCTTCATCTAAAGAGCCGTCAACGGCTACTGGGTGGTTTCGTGAGATGGAAGCCGTTTGGGACCTAACGTATAACATCAGCGTGACAGTAAGCGTATTGTGCGAGTGCGGTTTGGAAAACGCTGCGTAAATAAAACAATTCCCATACCCTAATTATGGATGGGAATTGTTATATGGATATATTATGTGTAGACGTTTTGCACTTAACATCTGAATGAATCGACTATATTTGGACTGTCGTGATACACTAAGAGAAATGAAGGTTAAATGTGCTCTGCAAACAAGGTATTTATATTTCAGCAAGCAAATGAAAACATACTTAAGTTCTACAGTGAAATGTATATATTTATATATTACGTTTTTTTTAATTGCGATTAAAGTGGTGCTTTTCTTATGATTTTCCTAAATCATGAATGACACTTCTAATCAGCTTGGTTCCAGAAACGTGCTAGAACATGCTTCATTTAATGGCTTTACAGATAGTACAGATCAGATAATGCCCTTCCTGCATGAAAACGATGTACTGTAACCCATGTATGATTCTGACAATCAAAATTAAAATCTGAGGAGAGCTGATTTCACACAAAGTATTAGAACACCTTCTGCACAAGGAGAAGAGAGTACTCTTTAGCCACGTTAGTTACTCTAAGGCTCTTCATTCTCACATTCAAACACACACATCTAATTCATAATTTTACTTAAACTACTCATACTTCCATATGAAATCACACTAGATTGTAGTGTGATAACAAAACCAATTTTGGTCAGCAGATATTCATGGCACACTCACTACTAACTTCTAGTACAGATCCACATTTAAAAAAAAAGCAATTTCAGTATGAAACTGTTATCTGAGAAAATAGGAATCATTTCACATCAGCATCAAACAAACAGTGAATCTGTTTTTGAGGTGAATTAGGTACAGTTGATAGATGTGTTTACATCTATATTGCATTACCACAATATTCAAATGACCAAAATTCCTTATTCTTCTTGGTCGTGGAAGGCTGTGATGTGATACTGTAGAAGTCCTTTACTTGCTCATGTCTTCTTTTGTGTGGGAATCGAAAATTCACAAAATATCGTCAATGTGCAAAAGTTGTAAAAAAAACATTTGGTCCCATATCCAAAAACAGAGAAACTGACATGGGACTTTATCAAGTGTTTTAGAGAAAAGAAAAGAGAAAATAAGGAGAAAATTGTGTTTTAAAATCACCGCAGCCCAAAACAACTGTTCATTTGTTGTTCAGCGCATGTTCCCATGTTCCCAGTCTCACTATCATAAAGTGAGTTTAACATTTCTGGGGGTAAACAACAGTGTCCCGTTTCCCTTTTGCTCCAACATATCTAGAATCTAGTAAACAAACACAAGATGAAAAATAAATACCGGAGTCAAGACTAACAGAAGAGTCTTCCAGCATCGTACTTGCTGATTTTAATGAACTGATGCAGGTCCGCTTACTTTCTTCCACATCCTCTACCTGCCACCATACAAGTGGATCTTGGCCAACGAGATGGTCTCATCATAGTCGATGTGGCCCTTCTCGTAGATGACGAAGATGTACTTCCGGTCGTCCGCAGAGCCGCTGTCCAGTGACGTGATGCTGGAGTAGCCGCTGGGACCCGCCCAAAGCTGCACGGCTTTCTTCTCCCAAGACTTCCCATCGGTCAGCGACCAGCGTAAGGTCAGGTTAACCCCTGAGAGAGACGGGGCAGGAAGAAAGTCTGACGTATTAATGATACCAATATTGTTCGGTTTCTTTTTTTTTTTTTTTTGGACCTGAAGTCAACGGATTGTTTTGGTGAGCAGCAGTAACAGCTTCGCCAGTGGAGGAAAGTAACTTAGTACATTTACTTTAGTCTCATTCAGAGCTACTCTGTAGGTCCACTCAACTTTATTGTGTATTTTACATTACATTTATTTGATAGCTATAGTTACATTTTTATCTTAAAAAACACATGATGAAGTCACAACATTTTGTGAGTTGTTATAAATTAAAGAGCCAAACACCATATAAAAACTAGAATTAGTGTTTCATGCAATGGCGGCTGGCAAATAGAGGGCAAAGTCCCCCTAAAAGAAGAATAGAATAATGAAAAATGTAAATATTTGTGTTTTTGAAATATAAAATGTACCCAGTAATACTTTCAAAATATAATATCTGCGCAAAATATATGCTTTTCCCGAACTTCCTGGCTGTTATCGCCAGGCTGACGACATTCTGGAGCGCAGATTTTATTGCCATTCAAGCAGAGAACACGACTGACATATATACAGAATATTTCAGGTAATGATGATTATTATTTATTGTATATTATATTATACTGAATTGCCTGCAAGGGTGACAAAAATAACATTGTCAACGGGTTATTTGATTTTTCCCATGTTCATCTTCGAGTCCAGGTGGACGTTTCAGTCAATGATGAAATCTCAGCGATTTCTCTCAAACGAGAACGGTACAAGGGAAGAACAACTGGAATAAGGCTTCCAGCTATTTATATTATCTATGATATATTCTGAAAGAGTTGCTTCCATCCAACTTCCACTTTTGATACATCTCGCAAATCTTAATTTATCATTTTTGAATGAGGCACTTTCATTGGTAACGGAGCATGTTTGCAGAACGGCATCAGCGCTTTTACTTCCACCACTGAGCCCCGGTGACGCACGTTAGAACGGCAGCGTGGCTGTTGGTGTCTTACTTTTGTTCTCATTGGAGGGGTTGGTGAAGTAGAGCACTCCATCCTTCAGCAGGGCTCCGGCTGCTACTGCGGGATCCACCAGCTCGTAGTCAAAGAACAGATTGTCTACGGGCAGGGTCAACCCGCCGTCAAAGCTGCGTACCACAATGCGACACCTGCAGTGGTAGCTGTTCTGGTTCCGCACGTTGATGACGATGCTGCCGTCCGTCAGCTCCACCGGCTGCAGGGGGGCGGAGAGGGTCGAGCTTGACAGTGATTAAATGCTCTGTTATTTAAACATTCGTTGTGGGCTTTGATTAATTATGGCACCACTGCAGTGAAGACGTTGCATGATGTTTTAAAATACATAATAAAAAAATATATATATATATATATATTATTATAATGAACATATAATACCATTATGCAGTGCATTAAAAAGCTGTGTTTCTTTTGGCCACTAGAGAGCAGAATAACAGCAGGATGACTGATAAATGGGCTGAAGCAAAGTTGCTTTTGCTCACATGATGAACATCCAGCAGAAAGAACTCAACAATGCAACAATTGTTTGCCTCCAACTACTCTTATAACCGATTTGAAATGGACTTTCTCTAACAAGTAGATGCTAACTTTGTCTAACGTTTGGTGCTGGCGAGGCAGCGTCCAGTAATCGTATGATCATATAATATTTTGTTACACTTATAAAACATCTGCCAGCTGGGGCTTTAACAAAACAACATTTTGATAGCAGAATATAAAGTATTTACATGTATGTAGACCTCTAATATGGAGTGAGTATATAACAAAAAGGAGAGGTTGTTTAAAAATGCAAGGTTTTTACAGGCTGCTGCTGATGAGCTTGTGACTGAGACTCTCATCCCAGAGACCTTGTTTATTCTAAGATATTTGGATGCTTTGTTCCCGTTGGAAGTTATGGATGTTAAACTTTTAACCACTTTTTGTCAAAAGGAATAGACGTTTTCCCTCCTGGTTTTGAGAGATTTGTACCTGGCACTCGTCGGGGCTGAAGTCTTGAGCCCTCTTCTGCTGGTTGTAAGGGATGCTTTTCAGCGCGGCGCCGTTGTACCAGTTACTCCCGTGGTCGTCACTCAGGATGCAGAAAACTCCGTTTCCCGCCAATGTCCCGTGACCACACACCACCAACCTCCCCTTAGCAGGGTTATAGCGCTTCTGTAGTGCAAAGACACAAAGGAAAAAAATGGGGGAGACTTCCTTCTTAAACACAAACTACATATATAATTATATATAATACATATACATTCAATTTTAATTTTCACATACTACACACAGATATATATAAAAAACACATAGAAATCATGAATGAAAAAGTAATGTGTAATGCAAAAAATACATGAATATCTTTTAAAATCATAATAAATAAATAAAATTCAATTTTATAATGATTCTGTTGCTGCAAACATTGTAAAGGCCCTGCTATCAGTTTGCAATGCATTCAAAAATCACAGTCCAATTTATTCTATTTATTTAATACAAGTATTTAGCGTGAATTATGCCATATTTTGTATATAATCAAAACCAATATATCTGTGATTACTCAATCTCAGAGTCTTATTTGGTGTTGTTGCCTTAACCAACTGCCAAATCTAGTTTATTTAATAGCGTATGAACCCTCCAATTAAAAGCAGAACGCACCTTAGGTGTAACAGAGTTACTTGATTACGTTTTTTTCCCCATGTAATATCCAAGAAACAGTTTTTGGAAGGAGCCGTGTGTCGAGAAACGACATAGGTGTCTATAGCTGTCTATAGCTTATGATCACGACATGTGACATGAATGCAGCACAAAGGCAATCTATCTTAAATCTGCTCTCACTTTACAACCAGGAAGCCTTTCGTCTCATAGTCACTCGCTCTGACTCACCTGGATGCCGAAGCCCGGCCCGGGAGCAAAGCTCTTCACGCCCAGCTGGACCGACAGGTTCCTGGGCGAACTCCAGCTGAGGCCGTCGTCCCAACTCTCTATCATCATGGTGCTGGACGGGAAGCAGTGATTGTGGTTGAAGCAAAGGACGTAGACCACAATCACCAATCCCAATTCCTCGTCCACCACCACGGAGCCCAGGTTCAGGCCATCCAACTTCTCTCCGTCATTCACTATGAAGGAGGTCGGGGACCAGGTGGCCCCTGGAGGGACAGAGGAGGAACGAGAGGAATTTAGACATAGAGACTATTTTTACACCAAATGTATATTTTTGCTATAGTATTGGTCAACTACAAACACTCAAACATCAGTTTCTGTCAAGATTTAAACATCCAACTCTATTTTAACCTCTTTTGCACTCTTAGCTCTAATGTAGTGCTTTAACACATTTATTTTAAAGAAATATATATATATATATATATATATATATATATATATAGCGAGACAAAGTTTGTCTCCTTTATCTGTTCCCTGCCTCTTGTGTCCTGTGGTTACGTCACTTCCTGCCTTTGTATATTACATACTAAGTATGTTTTGGCTTCTTTAAAAAACAAACAAACATGTAAATCGCATTTTTAAACTGGATCCAAATTGTCAAATTTGCTCAGGGAGCTTCCTAATTTAGTGAAATGATCCAGAAGTGTAAGTGGCCGCCATAAGATCTGTTCAAATTCTCCAAACGCTAAGGAAAGCAGCTTCAGTGCTTCCTTACTTATCTCCTTTTCTGTCCCACAATTCCTTGCAGCGGCAATATTTCAATAGTGACTTATCATTCGGACGGTAACGAGAAGTAACGCTCGGGGCTGAGAAATGCACATCATGTAACCGTTGGCGTAATCATTTATTTTCCCAAGTTCAACCTCGAACCTGGTTGTTTTATGACTGCATTGTAACACATTGACGAAGGCATTTAAGATGCGCTGCTTGTAGTCCATCTTCAGAGAAATGGTAGTTTGGCCGCTGCAGACTGACGTCACCAACATGCGTCTCCCGTCGCATCAGCACTACGTAGCTTTGTTTAAGTGTAGTCGGACTCCCAAACACCGGGGTTTCTTTCCCTAAGTAACTAATTCTACTAAACATTTTTCCTTGACTCATGATGTTTTCCACAGAGGTCAAGGATTCGTGATCCAGCCCGATCCACTTTTCCTCTTATCCCCATTTGTCTCTTGACCCACCATTACAGTTGGGTTTCAAAAATGCCTCTTTAAAGAAAGCCTGCTTCCATTCATTTTATACACTTCATATGATGGCATCGCAAACTTGTGGTCTGCTCCTACCTTTGCAGACTTGCAAGGAACCTTTCGTTTCCTGTTAATTAGCTCTTGCAAGTTTATGTTCAGCATTAAGGCTCAATTAAGACCACGCAAATAGTGATGTTAAGTGATTATTTTATATTTTCTCTCCCTTTGTGATTGTTGTGTATCCCCTGTAGACTGTTAACCACTGTGTGCCTGTGTTCATGGACTGTTGTGGTCGTCCTCGCCTTTGTCCGTAGACCGCCGCATTGCGATGAACTTTGCTCCCAGGTCACGTGACGACGACTTCCTGGCCTCTGAGAAAGCCAGCAGGCTTCCCTTTTGGGTGAAGGTGAGCAGGGGGATCCTGTAGGTGTTCACCGCCCCCTGGACTCCGCTCACCCACAGCAGCTGCTCCTCATAGAGCAGAGGGTTGGTCTAAATCGCAAAGAAAAGAGGATGACTAAGGCGAACTACTTCAAATATGTGTGTGTGTGTGTGTGTGTGTGTGTGCACACGCGCAACTTGAGTCAGGTGACGGGCAATTTAGTGTTTTTAATTCACCTTTCAAATCAAAGCCCCCCCCCCCCATTAGTGTAACCAATACCGGTACTAGACTTGAGTGTCTTTTGGACCACTGTATACTTTACTCCACTATACTTGATCATCATCAGTTCATAAAATGCAATGCTTTTGTCTGTGTATAAATGAAAACGAGTATTTAATGCATTGAAGCAATAGTGGGAAGCATAACCGCTAAATTGATGCAAAATAAAGTCTTGACTGGACTACTCTAAGGTAAACAAGGCATTTCAATGAACTAGTCAGATCAGCTATCAGAGAGTATTGATTATATGTTATGCATTAATATAGCACAGTAAAGTAGTTCTATAACGGTAACTGGACAGTCTTTAATTTACATAACATTTTGTTTAGCCTGTTAATGAAATATTGAAAGCATACATTTTACTCTTGAGTACTTTTACATTTTAACACGTATTCCTCCTCTCACTTATGGCGAGACTGAAAACGCAACAATGTGTTGTGGGGGTCTACAACGCGGAATGAACACGGTGTCACTACACGGCACCCGGGTGACGGTGCCCTAACCGGTCCACCGTCGAACACCGCAGAGCTCCTTCCTACGCGATGGCCATGGTTGACGCGGGATATCTTATTGTGAAGGACAGAACTTCCGGCTATGTTGACTGCATTGATGGGTATTTTGTTGACCCTTTAACCAATGTTGAATAACAATGTTTACAATGATGCTGGCTGTATGACCGTTTTAGGGCAATACGTTTAAGACTATTTCACTTTTCATGATTAAAACCGTATTTGTCTCGAAAGGTGAGGAACTAACGCCTACTTCAACAACGTTGAATCACTTGAAAACATAACACAATCATTTGCCTCCACATATTTACTGCACAGTCTCACGAATTTGAGCTGAAAACAACTCTCCTCGTACCTCTTTGGGGCTGAAGGAGCACGCGCAGGTTGACAGCAGCCACAGTGCCGCGAGGGCGCTTCCGGTCTCCATGACAGCAGATCCACGGCCTGAAAACTACTTCTTTATTCCGATGCAGGAATTACATCCGCTATTACACTAGTGCAGAGTTTACAAAGTAGTCCACACAAAACGGGCAGAGGGCGGAAATGAATCAACTCACAATACCGCCAGCTAGAGCGAGTCATGTGACACGAAGCGACGTGGTCACATGACGACCCTCATTTTCCGGCATGCGCCAAAGTAAAACAATGATACCCGACATGTGATAGACTGTTTATAAATATCCGAAATAAAATGGCAAATATTATTATCGTACTTTGTTGACTCAAAGTAAAATAAATATAACACATGATGTTATATATTATATGTTATATGTGTATGCAGGGTGTCATTCTTTTAATTGTGTATCCTAAATTATGTTTGTGTTCACATTATAATACCTAATAAATCAGTAATTTTTTTGCTGAATATAAAACGTACCATAGGACATACATCTACACAATCATAAGAATTCTACTGTAACATTTCGCGCCTAATGGACAACATACTCATAGTACATACATAGTAAACTATGTCTACAAAATGTCGTTGTTTCGTAAGTGACTAGTTCCAGTTTTTTTATTTGATTCATTTTCTAAATTGTTGTTTAAATGCGAGCTAATTAAACATTTGTTTTATCCAGACGAGAGCAGAATTTCTCTAAAACCACACATGAATTATCCAGTGTTAAAGTACAAAGTCTTCTGCAGTCTACATTTGTATGGTGGCGTGTGGTAGCAGAAACGTGTGTACATGTGTATCCCTAGTTTGACCCCAGTGATCCACAGCCATTCTTAAACGTAATGAGTTAATGTCAGACAGGTCCAGTAAAGCAGCAGCGCCGTGCCAATGAAACAAAATGGCAAAACGTCGACTCTATCCTATTTACAAAACCACACTTCACTTCAAAATAAAGTGTGAATGAGCTTCCTTCCTTAACATCAGGCCGTGATGTTGTTGGGCAGAGAAGCAGAAACTACATTCCTTGTAGTCACGAGGCCCAGCTGGTCTCAAGTCACAAGCTGAGAGAGAGAGAGAGAGTGAGAGAGAGTGAGAGAGAGGAAACCGCTAAAAAACATTTCATGGGGAAGGTAACATACACTGCGGTCTGTATGCGCAGACAGGAATACAGTTGTTGCTTTGAATGTGGACCCAGAAGGCAACACAATCATCACAGCTTCCTTGACATCATGGAATCTAATCTTACAGGTAGGATCATTTACGATGTGAATTGTTTGGTTTTATGTATGTTGGTTCAGAAGTGAATAATCAAATGAAACTTGTTGAATAGCCACATAAAAAGCAGACTTTTTAAAATGTCTTTGACTTTGTGTTCGGATGAATGGGACCCGGCTTCCTCTTTTTCTATAACTGTACTTCCAATGAGAACTTTTCATAATACAAAACTTTTTCCAGATTATAAACGTGGCGTTTCTGCTCAACACACGTGTAAAAGGAAAAGCCTGAAGTATACACAAATACAAAGTGATTAGGTTCAGCATTGCACGCAACACACATGCAGTCCTGATTATACTGATAAGCTCACGACATCTGCGCTGTTACTCGTGAAATACTCTGCCTGTGTTTGAACGCTGCCTTTTCGCTCGCTTGCCTCAACAATATTATTTGGTCTCTTTATTTTCTTCTCCTCTTGCCAGAGTACAGTGTAATCAGGCACTTATACATTGTGCACAGTCAGTGTGACTTTAACATAGAAGGAAGTTAAAATGAAAGGAGGTTTGTGTTCAGAGAGGGCTGAGAGAAATGTCTGAGGTGACAACGTAATCTCTCAACTGCAGCATTGAGTTTTCACACTTTGGTGGTAAAATGTGCCTCAGTTGCAGGCAGGCAGGCGTGGCCACAAGAAGAAAACTAATTTCTTTAGTTTTATCACAATAAGTCCTCTGTGGAGGGACACAGTCAGGACTAAAAATACCTTTTCTCTTCTATTAACAGACTCAGCTACACTGACATGATCAAAATAAAGGCAGTGCCGATATGAGCGACTTTTAAAGGCTTCTAAAAATGCAAATTCACTTAAGTTGTCTTCTCAAAACTGAATCCATCCAATAAGAGGTTAATAGCCTCTCAATGTAGATAAGCAGATAACGCCATGTCACCGCAGTAGAGGCCAAGCAATGAAAGCAGAAGTGGTTTCCTGCAGGTTTCGAGACTTTCTGCCGTAAATAAACCGTGGACATTTCTATCAGAGCTAAAGGCCTTTGTTTACTTGAAAGAGAAAACACTTTCTGGGCAAGACCACCCTGCTACTTCGGACGTGACCTTTCATTAAGTCACATGACCTCAAGTAAGACCTTTTACCGTCGGCCATGGTTTGTATGAATGTGTTATAAACTGGATTATAAACTTTGAATCATATAAAAGTGGGCATTGTGAAATTTAAAAATGTCTTTCAGCCCACTTTCAAACGTCATGCGCTGTGTCCTTTTTTAGGAAGTGGTTATTTCTAAGATGATGGAGGATAATAGTGGAGTATGTCATGTGATGGAGGAGAATCGGGTGGATGTGCAGATCAGACAAACCGAAGCTGAGCCACAGCAGGCCGACAACAACGTCCCCAAATGGACAAATGGTAAATAGCTGCTTCTTTATTCCTTTTATCGGGTGAATTGTGCTACAGTTAACTTTCTATTTACTCTCGTCATCATATTTATGAGATCAGGAGCTTTCCCACAGGTTATTTAACAAATACAGAAACCGCTCAGTGATACAATTGAGTTGTTGGACATTTTCAACTAGCTGATATCTGGTCCATGTGCCATTACAACACATTTGCCAGTCCACCGGGCTTTGCACAAATTGAGCGTCACAATATTATAATACCTGATTTGCAGCATGAGACGCCGGTGCCTAATATTAAATAACCTTTTAATTCAAATAATCTTATTGATAGATCAGGTAAATTATGTATTGTTTTACTTTCTTTCACTTAGAAACCCCTGAAACGATTTAGAAAAGTTCTGAATTAAAGATGTACACCACTCATACCCCTTGTTACCAGGATATCATATATCACAGACTGGCACATTTGTTTCTTTTAATGACTCAGCGTGCAGCGTATTGTATTTGTTATGTATGGAAAGTTGTGGTATTGTCCAGTTTTTTAGGTATGAACCACATTTGGTTGGTTTATTGCAATGTTACAAATACTTATGGTGCATAATAATAAAAGCGGTGCAATAATCAGAGATTAGACATGATTTAAGAACATTAAAATTGACAATAAAAAATAATGAACCAACAGATGAATAAATGTAGTCTTTGTGGGGTGAAGTCTTGGTCCTGATGGACAGCAGCTTCCTGCTCGGGGACAGGGACTCAAACAGTTTGAGTCAGGGGGGCCAGCTACCATCTTCCTTCTCCTGCTTCAGAGTCCTGGAAGCCAACGCGTCCAGGAGGGATGGCAGATTGCGATCTGACGTCAACCAATCACTCTTTCGGCGGAGAGAGTGAGATGCTGCCGCCTGCCATTCCCCTGGCAGCGACCCTGAAATGCATAACAATCTCTAGTGTATTTAGTGCACAAAAGAGTGGACGTAGTCCTTATTGTCCGTGGTGCCTTCAAAAAAAGAAATCTCCTCCACGAACTCCGAAATACAGGCAGTTTGTTAAACCCTCAACCAGAGAGAACACTTTAGACACAATAAACAGGCCCGTCACTCTGTTTTCTCGTGCTGCACGGGGACACTGATCATGTCCTGCATACAGACAGAAATGAAAGCTCTGTAAGCCCGTCCTGGGAATTCAGGAAGCGAACGAGACCAGAGGATCATCGGGCCTGTTTACACTGTACAGACTGGGATGTTTTCTGGACTGACACCGACCGCCTGGATCAGCACACAGAGGCTGTGACATCATCAGCTTCACGGAAGACGGTTGTGTTCACAGAAGCAAAGGACGACAAAACCCCGGCTCACGGCTAAGCTGTGGCACCTAAGGTGGAAAGAGGAACCGGCGTTTGGGAGAGCAGACACAGAGTCAAAATACAGGTTTAGCAGAGCGGGAGAGGCGTTAAACGACAACAGCTCTCAGCAAGCGACTCTGCTTGAGGTGGATACCAGACTACAAGCACCCACACCACAAATTACCTCCACCCGGCAGACGAGAGACAAACCACTTTTAATGTTGCTTTGAAAGAGAACGGGACATTATTGACCCCCTTCTTTCTGCCAGGACCATGAAGGTTCTCACACTTGTACTTCTAGTATTCAACGATGAGCCTTTAGTGGGTGACTCTCTCTCTCTCTCTCAATGGCTCCCAGGTCAGTGTGTTGTGGCGACGCCGAGCTGTTCGATGCTCAACCCGAGCTTTGATCTGTCGCTGTGCCGGGCCAAACTGGAGACTGATGGCTTTCAGGTCAGCACACACACACACACACACACACACACACGCACGCACGCATACAGAATACGCATACTGGGGCACTGCAACGCTCAGAAATCTCAACTTAAATCTGTGTTTAATTGAGGTTTTTAATTTGTCACATGTTTTAGATTCCCTTCAAAGACATGGACGCTCCACTGAAGACAGCGCTGGACGTTCCCTCAGTCAGGAGATACCTGGTTTTTAACTCCGCTCTCTTCCATTTTGCGATGGCACCGGTACGTCGTCCGGCTCTGTCCAATCGGAGCTGTGGAAACCACAGTTGGTTTATCTCCACAGCCGGAGGCAATCAGCTTTCCTCAGCTTTAAAGCTAGTGACGGAACAAAGAGCTTGCAATGCTTTTGCAAAAGACTAAAGAAATCCCCACATACGACTTGTTTGAATAATACTTACACATTTTTACGCGTTCCATAGAATGAATTAAACTATTTGTAGACAAACACACCTTTGGCTTATTTGTAATGTTTGACAGATCAGCTGTGTTCAGTCCTTATGCTGAGCTAAGTGGCTCATCTCTGCATATTGAATCAATTCAGTTCATCAGTTCATTTTTCCTCTATCACGTTAACATTCCTCCCTCCACAGGTGCTGTATGTAGTTGTGTGGTGCGGCGTGTTCTCCACACTCCACCTCTATATCGCTGTCAGTGACTACTGGGTGCTCTGCCTCTCCGTCAGCCTCGTCTCCATCTTCCTCACCATTGCCATCATCTTTGTCCTCCAATACAGAAACAAGGAGGTAAGGAGCTGAGTCTGTTACTATGAAGTGAACCCGCGGACATTTCCATCTTAATGAATTCACATCTGAGTTTGGATTCTTTTGAAGAGGATTTCTTTGATACCTTGAATTATTCTCAAAGATCTTTATCCCTTTCTGTGTCAGATCAACATGAACATCGATGTTCGGTTAATCCAGGTGAATGAGAGGTTGGTGAAACACAAGCTGCTGGTGGCCGTGGCCGACTGGGTGCAGTCCTGCGCCGGAAACATGCAGGTTACTCTTCAAAAATCAATAATCAACTGCAAATGTGAAAATATCAGGCTCCATATGTGACAGACAACACAACAATGACGATGCAAATAACCACCGGTGTCGGTCTAAAAGACAAAGAATATCTTTGTTTGACTGACGTCAGTAGACCTCACTACGTGATCTACTTCTGTTTCCTGCTTCCTTTCCCGAGAACTGCTCTGCCGAGCTACTTCTACGTGTGTGTTTGGGTCACAAAAAAAGGGTTTTAGAAAATTCGAGGCAAATTGAACACTGGAACAGGGCGCGCTCACTCAAAGGACAGACGGGACAAAATTGATCTCCGTTTGTTGGAAAAATTCAATTAATGTTCTGTGAGTTTGTGACCTTTTGAACTGACACGTAGTGTTTTGGGGATAAACAGACGTCCAGCATGATTTTATCAAGCAGGAACAGGATAGTGGGTCCAGGAACTAATGCTGTAAGGTTTTATTGACTAGGGGTCTGTTCTCCTCTAATCATGGATGACAATGCTATCCCTCTCTGTGATGTGGAGGTGGGAACATCTGGCCCCAGATGTGTGTCACCTTAGACTGTAACGCTGTAGATTAAGAAAAGCTTTGAGTAGCCTCGACGCATGACTTGTATATTTATCAAATGCATACAAGCATTTGACAAATCCTGTTGTAAAACTTTTTTTAACACCGATCTGTAAAGAATGTTGGCAAAAGGACGATTTTATTTGCCTTACTAGATAAAAAGTAGTATGATATAACAGCAGACATTTAAATAAATTAATGGAAAAATGGAAAGACTTGTAGATCACTATGAAAAAGAAGAGAATATTTTGAACACCGCTAAGAAATGTTAAAACACTGTATGTCTAATATGGAAGTGCATCTTTAATAATGTGGGAATAAAGGGCTTCATGTGATCAATAAACTAAAATAAAATTGTGCTGTGGGTGGTGATTTAGTTCCACAATGAACAAGCAAACTGAATCGTTTGGCCATTCAGCCACTGATGATGTTCTATATGTCTCTGTGTGTCTCTTTGCAGTTGTACTTTGTATTTTGGGACATGTCCTGCTGTCTGAGGGCCCTGACTGAAACATTTGAGGAGCGCAGTTTTGTGGAGGACAACACCCAGGTGAGTGAGTCAAGTGAGTCATCTGTCCACCTGCTCGTTCTCCTGCTGCTTTATTGATTGAGTTATTTTGTTAGTGCTTCCCTCGATCCATGCAAATCTAATTCCAGCAGTTGTTGAATGATATGTATTCATTTATAATTTGGCAAACAGAAGCTTAGCCCTTGAACGACAGGCTCACATTTCATGGCTTCAGTGTGGGTGAAGTTTAACACAAAAAACGTGTCACTTTCACCAGAACAAACTGGAGAGGAAACTGTCGCATCTCGTTCTTGTGGCCGAGGATGCAGCTGTTGACCCAGAGGTCGGAGGGTCAGATGAGGAGCAGGACTCTAGTGAACAGAGGCCTCTGCTGACACGCGAGGACACGGAGTGCAGTACCTCAGCTAACAGGCCTGAGGGCGCCAAAGTCACCACCAACTACAGTCTCGTCCCTGATGCGTCGTTACCTGCTCAGGTAAAGATACGTGAGGCTGCATGACGGCTTCATCCCAACACCGAGGGGATTTATATTAGAGCAGTAGTATTGTTGTTGTATTATAGATAAATTACAACTAGCAATAAGCAAATTAGACTGGTTTATACCTCAGTATTCATTCAGTATACCTCAGGTATTCATGCACATGTTCATTCAGAATGTGTCCTGATTGGTTAATTGGATTGAGGTATTTCATTCCAAAAACACTCCAAAAACCCTCTTAGTATTGCTGGTTGAATTATAGTTAAATGGTTTCAGTACCATTGTTCCCTCTACCTAGTTCATTCTCAGGGTGAAAGCCTGTGTTAATCTAACTCATTGCAGGCCAAAGCCTACCAGCTTCTGATGACCTACAGTGCCACTTATGTGAGGCTGCTCCTGTCCGAGAGGCTGTCAAGACCCTCACACTACCCGCTCGGACCACAGAATCACTGCCCCACCGACCATCTCTGCCTCTGCCAGTACATCAAAAAGAAGATCCTTCGATAACAGAACAGAGTCAATCAAGGGACTCTGAACTAGTGGATGACGAAAAGACAAAACAACAAGACAAAGCATTCTTGCCCTTGAAAAGACTAACAGACGTGTGGGCACGTTTCCTCGTCATGCATTATGTTGTTTTGATCAAATGCTCCTGTGCTGCTGCCTTGACGCCAGCTCGGTGTTTGCACCGGCCACTTGGTCCAAACCATTTCTGCACCGTGCCAGACGCGGTCTGTTCCACCTGCTGTAAAACAATATTTGCACTATTGTACACGGGACAATCACAGCGTTAGTTACTGTTAACTGTTGATAATCTGCTCAAATACAACACACTGATATTAAACTGGTGGTTTCATATGTTTTTGTGACCTTTTACTGAAAGTCAGTGTCCAGTCAATGACTCATTTTTCACATTACAGGTGAACCTGTATTTATACTTTTGATACTTTGGTGCATTTGGCTATCGAAACCCATTCTTCTTACTTTGTCGGAAATTGACAGTGTTGCAAAATGGATTAAGATGTTTTAAAAAAATACACCCACACATTAAAATACTGTATATACATTAAAATACTGTATTTCAATGTATGAAGTCAATGCACTCTGCAGCTCAATGAGAGGGGTCTCGTGTTACCTTACTATATTTACATTTGTTTACGTGGCGTTTTCATGTTTAGGTTTCTTGTGCAATTCAGATATTGAACCGATTCTGTTTTGTAGAATCTAAACGGCAAAGGGCAAAGTAAATAATACATATAGTTCTCTGAAATCTAGCGAAGTATGAAGTAACATAAATAAGAAATGCTCTGGTAAAGTAACTAATTACTAGTAACTAAAATTGCAAATATATTCTACTAGTGGACATTAAGTGCAGGATTTATGAAAGGTTATTGTACGGGTACTTGAGGAAACGGTCATCACTGCTTAAAGGATTGACAAATCATAAAAAACAACACCAACAGAAGCATGCAGGGAAAGAAAGAGACCTCCTGTGATGCAGCCGTGTAATGATGCTGAGAGTGGGTTAAGATGAATCATTGGCTTAAATTTCCTGGAACCAGAGCGTTTGTTGTTGTGTTCTCACGTCTCTGCTTTGACGTGTGTGTACGGCTTAGATATCTCTATGCATTTTTGTCTGCAGGTTGCTAGGTGCCTCACAGATTACCAGCGATTACCCATCAGTCCTGCTGCTGTGGCTGAGATGACAGCCCAGCGCGAGAGCTGCAGGATGACACAAACACACACCGCGAGACAGCGAGCGCGGCTGACCCAGGCCCGGGGGGAGGCTGGGATCGTGTGGTGGAGGAGGGAGGCTTGCAGCGTGACGCCAAGTTAAACGATCTCAGAGACGCTGGCTGTCCTCGGGAGGCTAAGTGACCATCTGTGATCCTGCACACACAGGCTGGCTTAGCTCCCACCTGTAGGTCCTCCCTCAAACCTATTTTGCATTGGCCAGAATGTTTTGGTCCATTATTCGAGTTGTCACAGATGTGATTTAAAGTGACTATGATATGTATATCACTGCAAAAGCAATATCAAATGGAAGTGCTGTTAGTGAGGAAGTATTATCAACTCCTCAGCATTTCGGAGCTCCATAATGAGTTGTTGCTCATTGTTTAGCTTCATTTAAACTCCCCGTGCATGAGCAGCTCGGTACCAAACATTAGAAAGACACCGTTAGCAACTAGCCGGCGAACAGAGTTTAGAATTTAGCAGCTAAAAAGCCAGACATTTCATTCAGGAGCTGGTGGAGACAAAAAACAGAGCTGAAAGTTAACGACTATTGGACTTCAGGTGGACACAAAACACAACTGCAAATGAATAATGAAGCATAACTGCTAGATAATAAACAGCTGATTGCCAACAGGGTCAAGCATATCAACTAAATAAGTGATCATATGTCATATGTTCTCAACAAGAGCAAAGCGCAGGACAATAAAGATGAATGAGGAAGTAACATGACATGACAGCTGTTATTACGGTCCAATTTGAAATGTCTGGTGCAGTTGTTGCAGCACCCTGAAATGTAGGGTTTAGTACATTCGAGCTGCTAAAAGACCTTTTCATCCTCATATGAGCCAAATAGAGGCGATGCAAGAAAACAACAGCCAATAAGCAAACATAAGCAAGCTAACACGTTGACATTAAGCAGGTAAGTTTACCATGATAGTGTTGCGTGTTAGCATGCAAATATTTGTCAATTAGCCTTTAGGGATGTCATTTGGTTTGCAGGTATTCAGTCAACACCCAAATCGTTTTGTATAATTGATAATTGAATGATTCATCCTGAAGGGATGCGAATGTCTGGAACAAATCTTTTGGCAATCCATCCAATCTAAAGCACTATAATGGAAAGTTTGGCGGTCGCTATTTGATTGTGTTCGTCTTTTGGGGATCATGGATTGGTGTACTAAATCTAATGACAATCAATCCAAGAGTTGATATAATTTACACAACATGACAGGTTTTCTACCAATTTGCATACTTGGTACAGATGCGGTGACAAGGAGAACAAACAGCTGTACAAACACTGTGTGATGGAACAGAAGATAGTGAGAGATACTGTAGTTCATGTTCTGACAGAGGAAAGAAAAAGAGACAGAGAGGGAGAAAACCGGGGCAACCGGCCTATAAATAGCACCTTAGTGATGAGGGGAGAGAGGAAAGGCCACAGAGACGCAGAGAGGAGAAAATCACACTCGAAGAACGAGCCACCGTCTCTATCAATGTTTCGTTCACATCCGCAAAAATGATTTTTTTTTTATTCGTTACTCAAACAACTGAAGTCAGAAACAACCAACGCGTGTGCAACACAGCCATGAACATCATTGTAATAGTAAACCCCAAGAGAACCACACGTACACAGCTCATTTCTGCCTCTTTGCAACAAGCAACCCGTCGCATTTACAAGCTCAAAAACAAAAAACTGAAAATAAGAAAACAAAAAACGCATCTTTCAGCAATGTAAGAACACGGTCATGTTGCTGAGCCCCATCAGAAAGCAAACAGGGAAATGAAGCCACGCTGCATGAACTAACCTTAGATATGCTAGTGACTCTATTCGTTAGACACACACACACACACACACACACACACACACACCGCCAGAGCCTTGTGTACAATTATAACACTACACAATACTGTGCTTCACTCTTTTAACACTGAAATATCCCTCAGTCACTCATATAAGGACGGGGCTTGCATCTGTCAAATGGGTTTAAGTGAAAGAAATTTAGTGCCCCTATTCAACAACATTTCTTACTCGATACCGGGACAATGCACATGAAGCGACAGCGAGGGGCTACTTAGCTTAGCTTAGCTTAGCAACAGCAGGGAAAAGCTAGTCTGGCTGTATCCAATTGTAATCTTGGTAGGACCTCTAAAGCTCACTGGTTAATGTTTTCTATCTCTAAAACAAGCTGATGGAGCTGGCAGCTATATTCTTGTTTTTTAATCCCCCCTACAAAGCAAGTATGATTTTGTCCCATTAAGTAGAACAGACTCATTAACGAGAGCCATTTTGTCAAATTTCAATGTTTAAAATACATATTTAAGTGGGGAAATTGATCATTGAGTAAAATAAAAATGAAGAATTGCTTTTAAACATGTCTAAACGTGTCATGAAAATAACAAAATAATTTTTTTACTAAGTTGGCTTTTAGGAACAGATTTTAGTGAAGATTTGTGCACGGATGTACTTATTATTACGCGAGTGAAAATCAAGTGCAATGCAGTTGGCAGTAATAAAAACAATAATAATATATAAACAACAGAATATACTGTAGTTATACTCTCTCTCTTGTTGTTCATTATTAACAAACATTATTCTTTAATATCTCTGTATAACTCTTTTAAAAATAGCATCATCATCCAATATAGGAGAGGGGGTCAGAAGAGAAATGTTGATAGGTCCAATAACTCATGTGAACAGGAGAAAGACAAAAAGAGAAAAGAGGAAACAGAGAAAAGATTGATCATTGAGCAGAAAGTGCTACAATACAGTATAGGCATTAATATTTTCCCTCTCTCCCATTGGAAACATTCATTTTCAGCTCCTCCCGTGAACCTCATGTAACAGTTCATACAGTACCGTTGACTTACAGCTTTGTTGGCTCTTATAAACAGCAGCACTGCTGCTACATTAAGGAGACCATACTCACATGAAACCCCGGCTCATCGTGTTACAACAGTGAAACATCGTCATAGGAGCTCACAGTCGCACATCTAACTGTGGCCCCCGACACTAACTTCAATATTTTAGACGGATGGAAACAAACTGAGGATGACATGCAGGGCGATGCTGCCTCATGGGTCTAACGTTGCACTAGAGTTTCACACACAGTGTCTGGGAGATCAAATAGCTAAGATGTGCAACACAAAATAGGCCAATACGCTCCTAAAATATTGCATAAAAGCATATTTGCAAACATAAGATTCAAATACTATATAATAATCAGCAAAATTGTCTCATTTTTTTTTATGGATGGTAACTTGCTTGAGAAAAAAACAAAACTACCACACGCTTGTAGACATTTCAGGAAATATTTGCACCAACAGCTGGGTGACAAGCTATTAATGCACTAAACGCCCCATTAGCTTAAATTTATACTTATCATGCTCTATATCAACTATGAAGGTAAGCAGCTGCATTGTCTCGTCTTGTTACTGCGGAGTGCATCAGATATCAAACTTAAGCCAATTCAAAAGTGTCAGATAGCTGCAATAAACGATATACTGTAAATTATAGCAGACAAAGTCAATGCATGGGTAGATATTGAATGAATTCATAAATAACAAACATATAATTAATTATCATCTTATCCAGCTAAAATATCCATCAAAAAACAATATTGGATAAATACTCTGTTTGGTTACATTAGACAGTCAGTCTCCATGACTGATGGTGTTTTAAATGTGTATTGTTCACTCCCATTAACACTTTTAATCAGTTTGACAATCTGTCAGCTGTATTCTGTTTCATCATTGCACTTTTCCTTCGTTTTAAAGAATAAAACAGGTCAACTGCATTTTTTTTTAACTTGTAACACTAAAATGTGCATTTAAATATCCTAAAAACAAACTGCATGGACCCATTCAGTAGATTTAGTTTCTAGAATATTTAACACATGACCTATGAATTAATCAACGTCAAATGAATTGTTAACACAAGCTGCTTCTCATGCAGCTCTTTTCTGAGTGTAAATATTAAGCGTTTGCTTCATTTGACAGCGCTTGTATTTGGCATTTGATCATCAGCTGTGAATTGGTGGCTTTTGGTCGTCGTTTTATGTGATTCATGGTAGCGGGTATGGTCAGAGCTGTGTGTGTGTGTGTGTGTGTGTGTGTGTGTGCAGCTGTACACAATAGGGCCAACAATGCAGTAGCAGTTTGTGTACGTTCTCAGTGCTCCTCCTTCCTCCATATATGCTAACATATGCCATGTATTCCCATCTGTCTGACGCTGTGTGGAGTTACGGTTCCCAGTCGTCGTCGTGGTGCTGCGAGGCGATGATGACCACCACGGTGAGGATGGTGCACAGCACAATGGAGGCAATGCCGACCGCCAGGCTGATGAAGGAGAAGTTGCGTGCCTCGCGGGAGGCTATCTCCGCCGTCACCATGTCCCCCCTGGCTATCGCCGTGCGCACCTAAGTGATGGAGGAGGGAAGGGGATGGATGTGTGGGAGGGTGGAGAAATTGGAAAATAGGTTATGTAACAGGAAGATGCAAGAGTGGGAGCAGGGGGGAGTCTGAAACACCATGCATGGATCAATTTCACCGCAGCACAGCCTGAATGTGCGGGAAGAGGCCGGTGCACGCTACATTAACACACCATAACAACATATACAGCTCAGACCAGTGGGTCCGTGCCATGTCAGCTCAGTTTAACTCAAAGCCAGCTCAGCAGGCCCAGAGGAAAAAATCCATTCTATCCCGTGGCACTGACAATGGGGCAGTTACGTAATGTGGTGTGCTGCGTGCGTGTCGGTCGGGGCAGTCTGCCATCACAGAGGCAAACAACAGGCATCATGGAGGTATGAGAGCCGCCACACTTCACTTCACTTCACTCTCAACTTGGGAGCAGCAGCTGTAATGGTGGCGCAGCGCCCCGCAATGTATCGTCTTGAAACGTTTAGGTTGCCAGATTCCTTTTGCCGTTTCCCGATTCTGCATAATTCAAAAGTATCAAATAGCGCCAACTACAGGAGACCTCAGAGTCTCATTTCTTCAGTCTGAGCTAAACTTTTAAACCCAAGCAGCCGCTACAAACTACAGGCTTAATTTTCACACAGAACATACATTTGGTCTGAACATTCACAAGAATATGGTCACTATGTGTACGATGGGCAAAAACGCATCCATGTGTAGCTCCTCTGTCAGAGTCTCGCTATCATGAAAACAAGCTCACGTGCTCTAGCAGCCTCACTGTTTGCCATGTTCAGCGTATTAACACGCTCACCTTCGCATGATATCAATCAGCACAAAGTGCAGCAAAGACTGATTGGAATATCTTTCGTCTTGTGCATGTTTGGGTAAATAGATGGATCTTTTGAGGTGGACATGATTGCGTCATCCAATTGTTTTTAGCGATCCGTTCCGAGATTGTCAAAACATTTGACTGAAAAGCATTGCCTGGAGTCATGTGTAATGGAAAAAATTGTGTAACTCTTCAAAAAGGTTTCACTGAATGAACAAGGTTATAAATTGCAGATGCTGGGATGGTGTAGCCATGAAAAATAATTGAGCTGGAGTGTCTCACTGATAAGGTGCCAGTCTCCTGGCTGTAGAGACACAACAAGTGGGTTTGGACCCGGCCCTGTTATGGGAAGAGGACGGTTCTTGGCAGTTTACTGAGCACGTAGCTGTTGTGACCTTTTTTCCCGTGCAAGGAAATAAACGGCGAAAGACATATTCGACTCAGAGCCTTATTCTTTTTTACTGATTGTCTGTGCAAAATCTTTCACAACACATGTCCTCGATTTGGGAGATTAGCCCTAAAAACATCTTAAAGCCACAAAAAAGTGTTTGATATGTTAGACGGTTTAACATACAATTATTTCTTAAAGGCATGTACTTTCCTGGAAATTACATGTAGGTTAAAATAATCGGAAGATGGGTTTACAATCGTCTCGCTGGTCAAGGCGACATTACGTTAATACAACTCTAAAGATATGATGAAGGAGCATTAACCTGCACTGCTTTGATGATCGCGATGATGCCCGTTGGCCAGAAGCAGCAGACGGTGGTGAGCACGGCGATGGGCAGGTAGTCGTGTGGCGGTCGACGGTCCATTAAGGTGATGCTCGGTGGCATTTGCATGGGGTGAATCTGGCCCGGTGGGATCCCTGGATGGCCTCCTCCGGCCGGCATGTAGGGTTGTCCCTGAACAGAGAGAGGGGGGGGGGAGCAGTGAGTAAGTACTGGGGCCTTTTTAAAACACTAAAGCAGCTTACAAAACACTTTCCACTCAAAAGGACACATGAACAAGGTGACGGTGAAGAGGAGGACAGCTGCATGTGCACAGTTCCTGTCGCTTGCATTAAGGAGTCGTGCATGTCGGAGTTTTATCAACAGCCGGAACCGTCTGAGGCCTCAGAATTCATTTGTAGGAACCAGCCTGCAAGACGGTACTGTGCAGATTTAGCTTGTGGTAGCATTTTCCCAAATCCTCATCTAGTACTGTACAAAAGAACATGTGCACATAAATTATACTGCTGGGGATTAAAAATATAAATTTTTATCAGAAGCAACTGGCGAGAAGGAGGAGATTAAACCCAAGCTCTTGTTTTCCATTCAGCGCATGGTGAGACTTGTGGAAGCACAGAAGCACTGTTGGTGGTTTGATGAGCAACAGTCACATTTTGGGGCCTCAGTTTCACAACTATCAGTTTACTTTTTGGGACGGTGTGAATGGTTTAATCTACTAAGTAAACATGTGGAGCTATATTATAAAATGTTTTACATGTATTCTTGAAAAGGGAAGAAATAAAAGGCACAAAGCAGTTGATGATGTTGAGCTCTGGTTCACAAGCAGCATTGCTTTCTCACATCACCTCGTCTCAGGTTGCTTGTTTCAAAGAACCAAGAGCAGTTCAGCCTAAGAGTGACATTCGATTCTCAAGTCATTTTTCCATGGTTGTTTGGGGAATTTGATGATTTTAATTTGAAAGCCAACAGCGGACAGCGGTCGGAAATGAAGGGAGTGAGATAGATGACGTGCAACAAAAGGTGTGAGTTGGGGATTTGGTTCTCTCTAAAAGAGATCAAATCAACAGGCAGAGGGGTTGAAACATGTATATGTCCATCTTAACTATACCTGGAAGGAAATATTACAATACGTTTCCCACATTAATGCCCGGAGAATGTAGCAATACAATTTTGAGACACCCGTAAAAGAGACCATGACATTTCTTAACCCTGACCATTGCATCATTGCAGCGGCTCGCGTCCTCTTCAAAGCCCTGGGTTTTGCCCTGGAAAAGGGTCCCCCTACTATTGTCATTGTATATTACACGCTATGCACCAAGGCACCGCATGTGGCTGCAATTGAATCCTTTTTAAAGTTGTATCTTGTGTCTTTCATAAAATCAGCCTTAACTGCTGACACAATAAAGCCCCACAGTGACCCCATCAAAAAGCCCCGGTTTCAAGGAAATTCCTTCATACAGGCTGAGCTCAATTATTGGAGATGATCGAACAATATCTGCATTTTACCACATTAGAAAAAACTTCTCAGTTATTATTATAAGGAAACCAGGAACAAGTAAGAGTTGAGGTAACACAGCATCTACTATCCGTTAGGACAACGTTAACTTGACATTATATGACAGGAATTCCGTTCTCTCTCACACGAGGCACGTTGTGTTCCGGGTCATCTGATAATCAAGATCTTTGCACTGTCTACATACCAACACATGGGCTTTGCCCAGAATTCCCCCCAAATGCATCTATGTGCCTAAAATACAAAATGTGGGAATGAACATGTACGCACCTGGATTGTCATTTATTGTATAAACCTGTATTCCAAAAACATGTTTGAAAATGTTTTCCTGCTTTCCTCATTATCTGCACCCGTAAACAACTCAAGCTAAAAAAATAAATGTATATATCTGCCGTAAGAATAATGTGTGCGTGAGACGGAAACACAGAGGGGTACATTTTCATCCGCGTCTCTCTGTGGCGCTGCAATGGGACATCGGGCACAGCGCGCGCACAACCACACGGTGTATATTCCTGCTCTGAAGATCCACACCTGTCAGTGGCCTTGATCCGTGACTTTGAACGTGTCTCAATGCGTCTCCTGCTTGCAAGTATTATTTAATAAAGGTTTAATTATTTTACACCGGTGTCAAGTAAGAATTTATCCACCATCCGCGATATGGGGAGGAATGAAAAGAAATTCATAATGAACAGAATAATTTAGCCGAAGGCTGATGTGAAACCTGTGAAATCTTGAATAGCACTCTCAAGGTCTCTGCCTCACCGATGCCATGGGGTAGACGGGTACATAGGCGGTGCAGGGCTGGAGCTGAAGCGGGTAGCCCGGGTGGAGGTATCCTACAGGGGCGTGAGACATGGCCCCTCCCGGGGCCTGGGTCTGGACCGCGTAGCCCTGCGGGGCCCCCTGAGGAGTCATTGGGCCGCAGTGGAACTGGGTTTCTTGGAGATACCCGTCGGAGCCCGGAGGAGGGGGCGGGGGAGGGTAGTTGGGCTGGTTGCCCGGTGCCGCTTGCATGCCGGGGTGTTGGGGTGCGTTTGGGTCTTGCGGGCCAGAGAGGTACGGAGGAGGCTGCATGGTCTGACGGCCAGCGTCATCGAGACCTGAGCGATGAAGGAAGAAAAAAAACAGCAGTTAGGAGAGAAAATGCAAATAGAAAAGTCGGAGGAAGAAGAATAAGAGAAACAGATGAAGCGAGTGGACGTTATCTAACTCAAGCACCGTTACACAGCGGTCTGCATGTGTAATATTTCCTATCTCCCTGTTGTGGAGGACGAGAAACAACACCGCAGACCACAGCTCAGCAAGACTTCAAACAGAATGCAAAAAACTGAAATGCTGTGTAATCTGTGTGCTAATGATGACAGTGATTGACATTTCCACCTGCAGAGAAGAAAGGCCTTCCCCCTCGTGACATTTCTGAAATGTAAAACTTCATCTGACGGTCCGTCTGTCTGATGCATCCTCCATCTTTTGAACACCCCATGCCCACACGCCTGCTCTCCCCTCGTGTTTGTTTAGCATTGAAAATGACTGACGGGGCGTTGTGTTTTCCCAGCAGGTAAGTGGAGTGATGTGCGGTGATGCACTTTGACGGGACACGAGGCGGGAGGAGGGAGGGAAGATGGATGCAGACGAAGAAAACATTCAATGGGACAAAGGAAGGAGAGCAGGAGGATGTTGGAGAGCACAGCAGCTGAGTGATGGGGGGTGACGACTTGTGCTCGGGGACCGGCTTTACATAACCGTCTCCGACTCACGAGCAGGAAGTGGACCAGAAACAGACAAGAGGGGAAAGGAGCGAGCGAGAGGGAAGGGACACCTTTGGAAGGGCACGAGGCGACGAGCAGATTGGCCAACATGAGAAACAAAACGCATGTTGGCGTCTCAATCCAGAGTGGAACATAAGGAAGCCGCTGGAGAGTGGTGGCGCTTCAGTGTACTCATATATACGTTTTTAGAGGTAATCTAACATTTACTTTTTGCTCCTCACCTTTTAAGACGAAAACAGCAGGTTTATGAACAATAATTTCATTATCAAAGACTATTATGTAGTTCCATCAGCACTGAACTGACCGTCCGAAACAATAAATGTGAGCAGTTTCCCTCCATCTATAACTTGTGTAACAGGGTCCAGGTGAGGAAATGAGTAGTCACCAGTCAATCTCTCAGATTTTTATTTTTTAGATTCAACTTTATTGTCATTGCACAGAGTACAAGTACTGAGGCGACGAAATGCAGCATCAAACAGACAATATGGTGCTTTGAGAAAGTGTCACGAAAACTGCAAGAGATCCTCGAGCATGAAGCCACGGAGCCAAAATGTTATGCAGTTTGGCGTAGCAGTGTGCAAGATTACTATGTGGACACAGAGATACACGGGTATACTTTACTCAGGAGACACTGGCACCCAGGAAGCAGGAACAGCACGCGATGTTACCGGGTGTAAGTTAACCCCAGGTTAGATGGCACCAGCAGGGGGAACCATGACAACTGAGAGAATATTATTAAACATGCACAATACTGAGCTTTATTGAATTCCAAATGGACCAACAGCATTCCTCAATCATCCGTGAGGTATCATACTCCATCATTTTATTTGGAAGACCGTGCTCTGAATCCTCATAAATAACATTTAACTGAGGCCCAGCTGTTGTTCTTTTAATAGCATCGATAATGAATTCCTCATGTTTGATGAAAGCGCGAGGTGTTCAGCCCAATCTGCACTGTCCTCAGTGTGCACTTTACATTATTACCAATGGGAACTTTATGCGTCTCAGTGTGACCTTTATTCTTTACGGTGAAGCCGCTGTTTGGGCTCCATTGGGCGTTTTAACGTCCTGTAGCAATGGACGAAATAAACACAACATTGCATTAGTTTTAGTCGCCCTCCACACGTTTAGGATTATTATTATTTTTCGGGGCTGATGAACACGCGCCAGCGGAGGTGTGCACGCGCAGAGGACACCCACACGCATGTCCACGTGAGAGGCCTTTCTCCAATGATGATAACGAGACACGGGGGGACGGGAGACATATCAAGAACCCCTCTAATGGATTTGTAAGGTCGCTGGCTATGTGCATATTATTGAAAGTGATTGTTTTTAAATAAAAAAAATAAACTTACAAATATAATCAAGTGAAGTCTAACAATGGAACTTTAAACTATGGATTAAAATAAAAGGCCCCGTGATGCTGCACCCACACAGCGGTGCAGCATCCTATAGACACAGATAAATAACAGATCGATGTATTGACAACAGGGGGAGCTGGGAAAAGGACCCAGTCAGCCCGACGCATCCGCGGACCAAATACAGCGATGTCCGCTTAAAAAAAGAAAGACCCAATTGTTAAATCTCAATGGTGACGAGTGCCTCAATTAGGTGTCCAATTCGGCTTCACGTGACGCCACATTCAACACAATTTAAATGCCTCACCGTGTTTTTCCGACGACATGCCTTCCGAGCTTCTGTCCTCCTTCCTGTGGTGTATTTTTACTCCCAAGCTGATGCTGGGAAAGAAAAAAAAAAAGAAATCACTCCTTTCGTGCGCGATGATGCAGACTTTTAGTCCAAACAAGCCATCCTCAAGATGTCTTCATCTTTATAAAAAAATAAAAAAAATAAAAAAACACCCACTGGTTTTATTGCAATACTGATTTCAAGTGTTTCCTCCGCAGCGGTCGGTGTTCCTCGGTCCTCTTTCTCCGTGCCGCTGCTCCTCTGACGGGCGCTTCTCCGGTAACGCGTCGCCGTACATTGAATTAATCACACAAAGCGCTCGTTGTCTTAAAGTGACAGGCCGGACTGTGGGAGCCGCGCGCGCTGTGCGCGTCCCGTTGCAGCGCGACACAGAGACGCACACATTATTCTTACGCGGCGGATATTTATTTAGTTATTATTTAGCTTGAGTTGTTTACGGGTGCAGGTAGTGAGGAAGGCAGCCAAACAGGTTTTTGGAATACAGGTTTATTACTGTACAATAAATTACAATCCAGATGCGTTCATGTTCATTCCCACATTTTGTATTTTGGTCTGTCGGTTAAAAACATTCCCTTCAGGAACTTTCATGTAAACATTCATGTTTTTTTTGTTTAGGCACATACAGCACTTGTTTGAACATTTACGCTCTTCACATCGCTCACATGCAGCTCCATCTTTCCCGCCGAGAAGCACTCGGCTGCGGGCAGATCTCGTCTCTCAGTGGGTGTAGAGGGAGGCGGTGAAGACGATGTCCCTGCGGATGGCCAGGGACGCCTTCTCCATCTTGCTCCCTAGGACGGAGTCCCCCACGATGCGGGCGGCCTGTCGCACCTCCTTCAGCACCTCGTCCAGGCGCTGGATGCAGCGAACCACCGTGCCCTCCTGGACGTCCGTCAGCTGGGCGATCTCCGCGAACGGCTGGGATGAGGGGACGGCGGGAGGACGGACGCCACAAAGGACGCGATATGGTGAGATGGTTTATGATGCAACACAAGCAGGAGAAGAGACGAGGCAATACAGTTTAGCAGGTAGAATTCCCATAATGCATAGTCGTGTAGGTGTTGAACCCCCCCCCTCGTCTAGTAATTCCCAAAGTCTTTCAAAGTCCTCCCTCCAGTTAGCAGCACGGCCTTTGGATTTGGATGAATTTGAAGGTGCACATTTTGTCATCCAAACAGAGATTGCATGTAAGCGCCAGCTGCATCAACAAAACAGTGAACCCTCACCATGCCTCTGGCCCAGCAGTAGACCACCTCCGTCAGGCCAAACTTGAACTGGCCAACAAACTCCTCAGCTGTCTGTGGTATCCCACACTCCCTCTGCAGCTCTCCGATACGCTTGGCCACTGACAGCACGCGATCGATGGCCTGAAAGAAAAACACAAAGAGACGCATAGAGCAGAGAGAGAGAGAGAGACATGGGTACAAAAACAAGTTAAGCCTGAAGGAGATTTTAGCAAGCAGCCCTTAAATGCATCACTCTCTTAAACCTCTTGGAGATGCTCAAGAAATCTGTTTTACAAACCGCACCGTGCCACGTCTGCGCTCATGTCGCGGGCCTACAGAGCCCGGACCATCACTAATTCAGACCCTCATAAAGCACTTTCATGTATCAGAGGCCGAGCACATCGCTCACTGACACAGCCGAGGCGTGTTTGACAAGAGACGGATCAGTGAATTAATAACTGGAATGACTCAGGTGAAGTGCCCTCTTTGTCCTTTCTGCGGGCAGTGTGTGTATGAGTCAATCACTGGGTAGGCGTCTGTGCAGTATGTCAGTACACACACGCACACACACATGCACGTACGTCAAGGCTGTCGCTCTAATATCTTTTCAGTAGCTACAAACGAGAACGAGCTACTTCCTCCTTACCTCCTGCAGTGTGCTGGTAATGTGCGGCTCCACCTGCGTTTTCTGCGTGAATACCAAACAGGACAGCAGGGCGGCGCTCTCCTCGGGCGCCAGCGGGCTCAGGACGTTCTCGAACAGCAGCTCGGTCAGCAGCAGCTCGTGGCTGCTGATCTGACAGGCCACGCGGCCCTTCAGCTGCACCGCCCCGCCACTGTCCACGTACTGGAGCGACTGCAGCACCTGAGGGACGCATTAACCCGTATAATCTATGATGGTGCCCATGTTTAACAGTATACCTGCTAAACATCAGTATGCTAGAATAGGTGCTGAATGAATTTAGACCATAATAATTATATTAAACAAATATCTTACTGTTTGTCTCAAATCTCCTGCAACTAGCACTGAGTGATTAGCTAATAATAGGCAAGAAATGAATCAACAATCAATTTTTTATTTAAATAATTCATCAAGCAAAAATGATTTTTCTTGCTGTGTAATTAATATTCTGCATCTTCACCCTTGAGCCGCAGACCAAAAAAGTTTTACTTCCATAACTTCAAACACTGGTGATTTTATAGAATTTCAAGGCCGATTAGATAGAAAAAATACTTTCAGATAAATCAGTTAATTGAACACTGCAACCTCATCTGTGGGGCCATTGTGAGGGTTAAATAATTGATGTAGGACTTTATGGTAAGTTAAAACTCTTAATTGCAGATGTAAATGCAAATGAATAATTCAGACGTGTGACTTCAGTTCGAGTCACAATTAGACAAACAAAACCCTACTATCCAGGAATAGAAAGCGACCTTATTTTGAAAGATGAACTCCTCCCCCCCACCCCAACAGAACACCGGTCAGGAGAGCGAGTCAAATGTGTGATGCCAACCTTGATCCTCTGGTGGTATTCAGGCAGCAGAGACAGAGACTGGTCCGAAACCAGGAACAGCAGCCGGTCCAGCTCCTCCTGCACTTTCATCCTCTCATCGACCCGAGCAAACTGACACGCACACACATATAGGGGTTACTTAACCGGAGTCTACAGCAGCAGTACTCCAGCACTTGACCTGAATTCAGTGCAACAAAAAAGAAATCCAAGACAGGAAAACATTGCCTATTGTTGTCTCATCGCCCGCACAAAGCCATCTGGTGTGAATGTTACATAAACCCACTGAGGCCAATTACTGTGTTTGCATTGTAGAGCGCACTGCATTATCCACCAGTTTAGAATACTAGCAATGCTTCATAAGGACACAAGAACGCGTGATAGGGGACAGTGATACTGCAAATAAGAGCTTGTCACTGTGCAAAGTAACACGCTGCACTCATGAGGAGCAGCAGCGCAGAGCCTATACGGTTAATTATAGTAGGCGCCGGCTGCGAATCTCGCATCTTATCTCCTCAACGAACAAACGCAAAAAGGCGGAATTCTTGTGGCGGAGTATGATGTTACTATTGTGAAACGAGAGGAGGAATGATTAAAGGATAAAGGGAAACTGATGCCGTGAGAAATGAGAGGAGGCATCAAAAGGGGGTCGGTTGTCTCATATATTATGTAAAGATGTTAATTTGCTGCATAAATACGCAACCACTGCACAAACAAATTCCATGTTCTAATTGAACTAATAGTGTGATGAAATGCCTCCTCATTTATCTGCATAGTCAATCACAAAAATGTCTCTATTTTATTTTTTAGAGAGGGCTTTCGTTGCCGTTAAACTACTCCACACGCACACACCTGCTCTGCAAATGTGGGCGAGTGGATGCAGTTGAACTCTCGGAGGCTGCTCTGCAGCACACGCAGCCTCATGGAGTCCTCCACCACGTCAACGCTCTTTAACTGGAGGTCGTTTACGGGGTCCAGGGCCGCCATGCCGTTGGGGTTGGCCTCGGCCAATCGCAGGAGCTCCTGGGTCGCCGTGGAGATGGCTTGGCCAGGCGGATCGAGTCTGAGCGTCGAGAGGATGATGGACAAGATGCAGAAGAGGAGAGAAAGAAAGACAACCACCTTTTTAACTGACAGTGCTTGGTGGTCTGACTGGTTTTGCGATATATATATATCATGGAAAATACACTTCGACGGATACCAAAATTAGATAAATATACACAATCTTACAAGGTAGAACATCAACAAAAATCCTTAAATCCTTTATAGACAGTTCAAAGAAAGCCTATGACAAAAAATGTACAATACCAAAACAAATGTTAGGAAAGGTTACGGAAGAAGAGAGCGACGGATTAGGAATTAGTTTTCATATTATATAAGTCGTATTTTTTTTGGATAAGGGCTTTTATTTTCCATATGAGCCGGATGGTACTTGTTTAGAGACTCAAATTTTCCCTCATTGGTTTCCTCGTGAATGAATTGAAGTCATATTCACACGATGCACTGCGTGTTTTCAGCGTAGCTCTCTCACCCACCTGAATCGTGGCTGCTGCCTCTTGCTGTAGTTGTCGATGATCCGGTCCGGAATCACCTTCAGGGTTTTCACTGTGATGGCTGAGATGTCATGAAGCTTCAACTTCTGGACCGTGTGGCTGCAAGGGCCTGACAAACAACAGTAGGCGCGAGGGAACCATCGCACATGCTTATACTTTTTCTGCATTCACACAAACTGCTCGATGAAATGAAAAGGCTGCAGCGTAAATGTGCTTCATGTCGACAGACCGACCTTCAGGTATGAAGAGAGCCGTGTTGTAGAGGTGGGGGAAAGCCTTGTTGTTGTTCCCTTTTCCGTCCTCTTCCTCGTTGCCCTTCTCGCAGATGACCAGAGCTGTGAAGGTGCGATTCACTGCGTCACTTGACACCTGGCATGGACAGGACAAGACGTGTGTAAGAACCAGGGACATGCTCACAGTCTTTAAGAATGTTAACCAGGCTAAACTCTATGGTTATGGTTGGTAGATCGCTGATTGATGTCTGGGGGGGATAAAGGCAAAAGAGTGACCACTTACAGTATGCCAAAACGAAAAATAATTATTCAGAAACCATCCAACAGACTTGACTAATTCATGTCGATCCTTGTTATTTAGTCTTTACTGCAGCCACCTAAAGCAGGTCCAACAATCAAAAGAGCTTTGCAACCACAATGGGATTCAGCTGAGTGAAAGAACATTAAATAAATAAAATGCTATAGATAGAATTTAACTGCAGTATATTTCCCACAGCATATATAACAGAAGGACAGTATGTTGCTTTAAATGTCCCCAGAATATAAAATATGTCATTTCAAGCTTGGATTCAGCCCAGCAGGCTTCACCAACAGCATATTAGAAAGCAGTGACCTGTATGTGTACAGAGAGATGACTGTTCATTTCCTCATACTGCTGCTACTCATCAACCATCATGACACACACACACACACACACACACACACACGTACCTGTAGGATAACGCCCAGAGCGTTGAGATGCTGTTTGTTGTTCACAACCACAACGCGACCCACAGACAGCGCTTTCAGCCCGTTGACGGACTCCAGGATAGCGCACTGAAGCCGGAGACAGCAGGAAAGAAATGTGGCCACCGACAGTCAGAAGCTGTATGTGTATGATCTTAGTTGAGTGTGTGTGTGTGTGTGTACCTGGAGGGCCTCTGTGGTGGTTCGTAGCTCCGTCACCGTGTGGTAGTACGGCAACATGTCCGACAGCTGGCCTTCTGTGTCCAGAGGAGGTAGAGAAGACACCATCTGCTTCAGCTGGCTGATCCTCTTCTCGTGGGACTACATCGGGATGAAGATGAGAGGAAGTTGTCACATTTGTCGACAGAGGAGCGAGGACGTCTTTTTTATGTTAACTCACTTATTTGTACCGTTTCACAATAGAGCGCACATGTCTGATTAAACCTGTTGTGTCCGTTACCTGAGTGTCCCTGTGGCTCTCAGAAAAGCTGCGCCTCATCATGTCGGTCACGCGCAGGGCTTCGACCCGCAGCAGGTTGAGGATCATCGTGTAGGTCAGTCTGAACTGGGACTGGAGGATTGTAGGTTTACCCTGAGCAGGACAAAGCGGATGATGTCAAGAAATAAAGAGTAATACACTAACTAAAACTTCTCTGAATCCATCCGTCTGAAATCATCGCCAAGATCAGTTTGCTGGTAGTGTCGGCTTTACACGGGAATATTGAATAAGGACCAGATAATTTTCCTGCTGTTCTGCACATTCAAATCAATATAAAGTTTGCAAATTTTAACCTTCCAAGAAGAGAATAGGTAAATAAATGAGCACTAGATGTACAAAGGACCTTTTCAAACATTATAACATTATAAGTGTTAAGCAGTAGCTGTAAACTCGGACCAAAATATTACATTATACATTCAAATGAAGGCAAATTATTTCTGCTGAAAAGCACATTGACATCCAAACGTTCCTCCCCATGTAGAAGCTAATTAAAATAGCAATAACCAAACATGCAACACTTTTATAAGAACACAGACTAAATGAAATTGAGCCTCTGCCTAAAGAGATTATACATATTTTGAAATAATGACCTGCAGAGGGAGTATTATTATCACATCAAATTACATAATAAATAAACTCGTGCGGCAGGTGAACGTTGAAACACAGAGCCTCACCAGCATCATGACATGCAGATCCGCCATCTCGTGAACTCCGGCCTTACACAGGATGATGACGGTGCCGGTGGCGTCCAGACCTCGCCTGCCTGCCCGGCCCGCCATCTGGATGTACTCACCTGAAGCCACGAGTACAGAACACAAAGAGAGACGTCAGCGCTGCTGTTGTCGTTTTCCTTTCATCCGATGGGATGAAAGAACATGCACGTGCATTTTCTCAGATGACAAGAGAAGAGTTTCAAACCCGGCAGCAGGTTTCTAAAGCCGGTCCCGTCGTGCTTCCTGATGCTGTCGAACACCACAGTCCTGGCCGGCATGTTCACTCCCATAGCAAACGTCTCGGTAGCAAACAGCACCTGGGACACGAAGACGTGAGATGTAGGAGAATTCTTTTAACCATTTACAGACTTAATAATTCGGGGTCAATCTTAAGTAACAGGCATTTTTAAATTGTGTTTCACAGTACTGGTGTTTTGATTTCTTCTCTTTGATGTTGTTTTAACGTAACTCACTTTTACGAGACCTCGTGAGAAGAGCATCTCGATGACCTCCTTCAGTATCGGCAGGATCCCGCTATGATGGACTGCTATTCCCCTCTTCAACAGGTCCCTCATGACCAAGATCTAAACATGGCAATAGTAAGACTTAGCATCACATTGTCTGGTTGACTTTATTGTCATGATTGGTAAATGTAACCTAAGGGAGCTTAGGTCTGAAACAAATGATCATCAAATATCAATATTTTTTTTTTTTCAAACCATCCCCATCCCTTCACGATAAAAGCGGCTAGGCTGAGCAGATTGTTCTAAACCTGAGGCAGCTGTCTGTCTCCTCCCCGCAGGCGACTCAGACTCTTCTGGAAGAAAGAGTGAATCTCGGCCTTCTCTATTGAGGTGGTCATGTCCATCGAATCGAGCGAGCGGGCGTTGTCGTCACACCGCGTCCTTGAGAAGGTGAACGCGACCACCGGCGTCTGCTGGCGCTGGGACAGGAAGTGCAGGAGAGTGAGCCACACCGATCGGTCCTGCAGGGGGAAAATAACGCACAGAGGGAGCAAGAGGTGATTGTTGTCACAGAGTATCAAAAAAACAGTGAGGTGACAGCGAGCGGAAGGGGGATTACCTGACTGGCCGTGGTGTTGTGAGAAGTACTTTTTGTGCCAAACGATTGGGCGTGTTTGCTGGTACGCTCCTTCTTGGCATCGACAGCTGCATAGTACCTGGACAACAAACACAATGTCCTTTATGGTGCGATAGCTCACTAGACTATAACAACAACCATCTACTGGAGAACTGCACAACTTTCTTTTCGTACCCTTTAGTGAGAAAGTTCCCTGTAGCGTCCATGAGCAGGTGCATCTCTTTCTGAGTCTTGGTGCTGTTGCCGGTGTACAGATAATGCTCCAAAGGCACAGGTCTCTTCATTGTGCTGATCACGTAGATGTGCTTCTTCTTTATCCGACTGGGATTAACAAGAGGGATTTGGAGACAAGGAAGGTGTTCAAGGAGATACAAAAATCCAATTGGTAAGAAGAGAAGAGTGGCTCTTATTTTGACAAATGCCCCCTAACATCAAGTGCACCTACCCAATCCACTCGCTAAACTCAACAGCATTCGGCACCGTGGCACTAAGGAGAATAATGCTGACGTGATCGGGGAGCATGATCAAAACCTCCTCCCACACCACCCCTCTCTACGAAGAGAGAACAACAATTACTCTTGACTGCAAGCGGGGAAATGAGATAAATGAAAGAGTCGGGGTCTTTCCTGACCTCTGCATCGTTGATGTAGTGAACCTCGTCGAAGATCACCCACTCCAAGTCCCTGATGACCTCTGAGCCGTTGTAAAGCATGGACCTGAAAGAGAGTAATAAGCTGTCAGAAAAGTATTTGGATTTGAAAACCATGAGCATTAATAATATCAGAACAGCCCGAGTACCTGAGGATCTCAGTGGTCATGATGAGACACGAGGACTCGGGACTGAGCTGGACGTCGCCCGTCAGGAGGCCGACGTCTCCAAAGGTGGTTTTGAAGTCTCTGAACTTCTGGTTGGACAGGGCTTTGATGGGAGAGGTGTAGATGGTCCTTTCAAATGGGGAAAGAATTGTTAACCCTGTTAGGACATTTGGGAGTCCTATATTGCACATACTACATTCCCTGCTGTTCATATCTCTGTGTGGAAAGATAGTACAACAGCCCCTTCCGGTTTAAACGTATAAGCTCCACAACTGATGCCACTCCATTCTCCATGCGCTTTATCTCATGGATCCTTCTAAAAATGTACTAAAATCGTGTTTAACACGCAGCGTGACCTTAATTTGCGCCAACCAATACACACCTTGTCATGTGTTTCTGCGAGAGGGCGATGGCGTACTCGGCCACCACTGTTTTGCCAGCTGACGTGTGCGCGGCTACAAACACAGACTCGTGAGCCTCCAGCTTCAGCACGGCCTGTTTCTGGAAGACGTCCAGCTCAAACGGCCACTGGAGCAGAGAAAGAAATCAGCTGTCACAGGAAGCTTAGCAGGTTTTCATGTGATGGTTCATGACGTACACAAGAGAAAATACAACCAAATAAGTGATACGGTAAGGGGTGACAGATAAGTGATGTTTCTGAGAAACAGACATTACACCGTGTTTTTTAATGAGATGATTTCTAGAATACCAACCTTGAATGCTGGGTTGGGTATGAGTTTATAGAAATTATTGCAGGGAGCATTTATGTTGACAGGGATGGCCCACTTCACATTTTCCTCTGGGTTCTCATTTGGCTTTGATTTGTCATCTTTTCCTGCCTTTGAGAGAGTTGAGGATGACACAACATCCTGAAAGCAGAGGAGGAGAACCAGATGAAAACCATCTCCAAACAATAACTTGAACTGTATATTCTGATAAATTACATTATTTAATAATAAATACACTATAGATATGTATGCAAGTTATTTTTGTTTTTAGTCTGTAACAGTTTGTTTTGTGTACATTATTTCCATCCCTTTCTTTTTCTTTTAGTGCATTATGGTCCGATGTTGTATTTGCAGCTGACCATTTAGTGTTGACTATATTGTCAGAGAGAAGAAGACAAACGGAAGCACCTTCACTCCAAGGTCTTCAAGGCTGTTGGTTCTGGGTAGTTTAGGAGCTTCCTCTTTTTCTTTGCTCTCCTCTGTCTCTTCTACCGCAGGTTGCAAGACAGGGATGTCCTCCAATGTGGACAGAAGGGACATGAGGTTGACCTCTGCTTTCGCTACTTTGGCCTCTTGAGGATATACATAAGAAAAAAGAAATTCATTATAAAAGCCCTGTAGAATGTGTTTTACATTTACACGGTGTGATATCCAACCTTTGTCAGTGAAATCCATCCCAGCTTTAAGTCCAGGTGGAACTCTGAGTAAATCTACAAGGAAAAAAATGAGTTATATATATATATATATATATATATATATATGAATAAAGAGATGAAATAACAACAAAAGTCTCAACTAATACAATAATGAGCACAATAAAAGTGAATAAATAAACACCATTCTCAAAGTCGATGTCCTCCTCCAGATCAGATCTCTTCTTAATTTGTTCCAGAGAAAGCTCCTCCATTCCACCTGGGGAAATAACCACAGCAAATATACATATATTAAAAAGACAAAGTGAAAACACTCACTTACGCGTAGGAAGACAAAATGCTTTGGATGAATCTATCTCACCGGGGTGAAAGGGGTAGTTGGTGTTGCTTCCTCGGAGGCTCTCTGAAGGAGGCCCTGGTTGGCGTTGCAGTGAAAGTGAGTTCTTTGCCGACAGGCCAGTGTTCTCCAGTAACACCTAGACATCAAATTAAGAAGAACAGACCCAGAAAAGAACACAATGAATGACGCTTTCTGATTAACTAATAGGTAATAAAACAACAGATTTTCATTAAGACAATTTATGTTTTTTAGTTTAGAATTTATATTAGTTTTTAAAACAGGATGGCCTAAGGGTTGCAACCAACAATTTAATTTAATCATGTCATGATCAGGATTATATTATTACTTTGCTCAACATAAATAGCTGAAAAGAGTAAAAGATACCCGGCACAATTTTCCAAAGAGCGTACAAATTTAAATTCCTTTTGTGATTTAACAGACAGTCCACAACGCAAATATATGAAGCTCACATCTGAGAGGGAGCCAGTGTTCACTAAAGAATGAGAAAACCATTACTTGTTTCTCAAAAAGTTTGCATGTTCCAGAGTTTTTAACAGTAAAGTACATGGGCAGAGTGGGTCGGCGTGCTTGTGATCTACCTCTGTGAAGTCCAGCAGCATCCCTGTCGTTGGATCTCTGACAACAGAGATGCCAGAGTGAAGGGCTGAGTGAGCGGAGTTGATTAAAGAGTCGACATTAACTTCTCTTTGAGCCACCCTGGTGAAGAAGACAACACAACAAATAGGTTTTCTTTAAATACATTTGGTTGTTTAAATAAATCCACCGAAACACATTCCCAGATCCCACATAACAAGGATTGGTTATAATTGTGTTACTTGTTCTTTTAAATACAGATACTGCATCGGATTTATTTTTCATTAAAGATGAGACCTTTAGAGAAGGAAAGTTATTTATTCATAATAAATATAACATAGTTTTCTTTACACTTCATTTCTATGTCACACATACTTTCATGTTTTTATAATTATCCTGTAAGATTGTACTGTTTCTGGAAAAGCATGGACTCCTAATTAATTTACTAATTTAGCTAATGATTTGTGTACCCATTTAAAAAACGGTACCATTTAAAATACAACAAATGTACATTGTATAGTATGCAAAAACAGGTAACAGCAAACTACAGCGTCTCTAGAGCACATGGTTGCATATTCTGCAAATTAAATCAACTATTTAAGCAGTCCAAAAACCATAATGAGATTTTTTTCAGGAATACGTACTTGAGAAACTTCTGGAAGGCAAGGTCTGTGTCGTGTATCGGAAGCCAGGCAGCATCCCTTAAGAACTGTTTCTCTACCTCTCTGTCCAGGCTCAGGCTGGTGGGAGGAAGCCCATGTGGGAGCTGTAGGTGCAGAAGATCAGATATTCAGCAGTTGAAGGGGTCAGCAGATGCATACTGTGTTACATCCCAGGTTCAACTCATACATTACACTTTCATTTACGCAATTTTCCCCACAGGGTTTCTGTCAATTATTAACGAAGTGCACTGACCGTGCTCTGTGGAAGTAAAGGCTGGTCCGGAGAGGGGTGTGTGATGAGCTCGAACCTGCCAGAGCATCCCATCTCCAGCAGGGACAGCGGCAGGTCCGTGGGGCCCGGAGGGGGAACATCTGCAGGCGCGAGCGGGGAACCACACAAACAGCATGAATGGACGTAACAATCACAACAATGATGGTTCACTGTGCAGGCAGAAAGAAGCGCCCGATGCAAGCTATAATGCTGCCATAGGTATTTGATTGACAGTGTGTGTGTCCAAAGTAGACTGGACATAGATTGATACAAGTTTTGGGGAATTAGTTAAATATGTAACGTTAATGTAGAAGCCATGAGGCTGCTGAGTGTTGAACTGATTGACAGCTAACTGCCCCGTTAGCTAACTTACGTACTCGTTACGCCAGCGAGCTGTGTTAGCAAACTGAAGCAAATGTTATTTAAACATGCGGACGCAAGCCGGCAATTTATTTTTTTAAAACTTACTTATTCTATCCATGTCCCCACTCACAAGCAAAAGCTAAAAGTTGTTCCCAACTGGTCGCTGCTTTCGCCTCGGAAGTTGACAGAATTTAAAGCGGAAGTGGCTCCTCGACCAGCTTTAGCTAAAAAACAACGCTGAGATGTAAATAATCAAAATGTACGAAAAACGTGTTAGAAAGATTTACAAAGAGAGATTTCATTTTCATTTTTTGCGTTGCTAAATGTTTTCGTTATTGTCACAAAAAAAAACATGAACGCAACCAGCAGCTTCTACGTCATAGACACGCGTCGGTGTTTTTTGATGCGACGCCACTGTTCTAGGTTGTTGAGTGAATGGTTTAGAAATAAGCAAATAACTCTTATTTAAGTTTATTTCAAGAGACCACGCATCCTTTATTTTGGTTATTGTGGTAGGTTGGTAGTTACATTTTATGTGATTTAAATGTAATAACAAGCTACTCGTATAGTCTCTTGGATGGTGTTTGGAGATCGTATTAGCCTCCCAGGGCTAACAGCTGTGAACGTGATAAAACATTCGTAACGCCTTTCTTGTGTTACTACACCCGAATTTGTTACCCGCCGTTAATACGTTTGTCTGTATTGTAGCGTTTTTCACCATGGTAGTATTTCCAAATTCACTGACGGAAGAAGAAGAGGCCCTGCAGAAGAAATATGCTAAACTCAAGAAAAAGGTAAATAAACGGGCAATTTCCATCTCGTTACTTTAAATATTGATGTAGTCACACACAAATCGAAGAGTTTAAGGGCATTCTCTGTAAAGGGGTGTGACAATGTGTATGATGACTCGTGGTTTAATGCCATGTGTTGAATTCACCACTGATGGAGCGAGTCCATATCGAGGACCATTACAAAAAGTAATGTGTTACCAAAACGTTTAACATGTCTGTTCAGAAAAAGGCGCTGCTTGCCTTGAAGAAGCAGAGTTCAACTAACCAGACAAATCAAAGTGGATTGAAACGGAGTAAGTGCATTTGACTCAATTTAAATGTATTTGTGTACTTTAGGATTTGTCTTTTTAGAAATACAGCTGGTGTACTCTTTAATATCACCAATAACAATTCATACAAAGACTGATTGTACGTAGAAATACGTCATGTTCGATTGAAGAAAGAAAAGGGAAAAAAATAGTGAAAAAAAAAAATAATAATCACACTATGCTTCATAACAGCTTTGTCGGACCAGCCTGTTGTTGACACGGCAACGGCTACAGAACAAGCAAAGATGCTGATCAAGACGGGTGCCATCAGTGCCATTAAGTCGGAGAACAAGAACTCAGGCTTTAAACGCTCTCGGATGCTGGAAATTAAACTAAAGGTGAGCTGACATTCCGGTTTTCCTGCTTTATTTATTTATTATTTATTATAATTGTGGCTCTCTGTCCGACACAGGACCCTGAGAAAGGCCAGACTCCGGCATTTTTACCTTTCCAAAGGAGTGTTTCGGCAGATGAAGAACTACCTGAGGTATAGTGGAAATAAAACACGATAGACCTTTTAAAATGTAGCTGCAAACATGACCCCTTTGTTGCAATTGGCATCACCTACTGTTTGTGTCTTTGTTGAGTAGAAGAAAATGCCCACATTTAGAATTATATCAGGTCAAAGAAATAATAAATGTTAACGTCTTGCTGTTTCAGCTGGTTATAACACATTCAAGCATGTTTTTTCTACTCAACTAAACTGTGAGTAGTGTTAAAAAGGCACATATGCCACATTATGCACTTCTAAAACATTCACGGATTTGAAGGTTCAAAAGAGATTATGGAGATTGAAAAGTTGAAGATTAAGATTAAGTTGAAGTCAAATAGAAAAGAAAAGTTTATCTTATTTTGATGTTGCCATATTCTTTTCTTCTCGTAGTCTGGAAAAAGAGCCCAAAGGAAGTCTCTTTATGAGAGGTAATGTCGCAAAAACACACAATGAATAAGAGATATAATCTGTTTAATGCACTGACTGTGAGTATCTGTAGCCGTATTAACATTTCATCTGTGTGACCCCTGCAGCTTTGTCAGCTCCAAAGACAGATACCGGGATGAGGAGGAGGGAGGCAGCGCGTCATCCAGCCGTGAAACGGGCCGCGAAATAGGCCGCGAAATGGACCGAGAGAGGGAGAGAGACCACGACCGAGAGCTGGATAGAGAGCGGGAAAGAGACAGAGACAGAGACAGAGAGCGGGAAAGGGATAGAGACCGAGAACGGGACAGAGAAAGAGACAGAAGCAGAGACCGAGACCGAAGCAGAGACAGGGACCGGGAACACGACAGGGAACGGGACAGGGAACGGGACAGAGAAAGAGATGCACCGTTTAGACGTAAGTGACCAACCAAGGACAAATCCTCAAAAATGCAGTTATCAGTTGAGATGAATGCAGTCCTAATGGGGATGCAGTGTGGTGCTGATCGCATGCATGATTTTCCCTCTGTATCCTGTATTTTCATTCACAGGGTCGGATTCACACCCGGAGCGGAGAGGGGTACGAAAGGGGAATACGGTGTACGTGTACGGCTCTGGGCTCAGCGAGGACAACCTGCGCTCTTCTTTCTCTCAACATGGAAGCATCATCGACCTCTCCATGGACAACCCACGCAAGTATGGAGTCTTTCAACCACCTTGTGTGAAAACATTGGTAATCCCCTACGGACCGCTATGAATGTGTTGCTGTCCCATTATCCATACACTAGACTCTCTTCTCCTGGTTCTTTTTAATTCTATGATACAACTCATACAACTCAATTTTTTTCCCTTTCTAGTTGTGCATTCATTACTTTCGAGAAGATGGAGTCTGCAGACCAGGCTGTAGCTGAGGTTGGTATTAACAGAATTGTACAGCTAGTCTTCTTTCTCTTAATACCACAGCTCCCAAAATAACCAAGGTTCAATTTTATGTAACATGGATGGGATTTATTACATGTAACTAATTTAATATAATTGTTTTGTCAAAGCCTTTGGTACCTTTTCTTTCTAGTACATGTAATATTGAGAATTTGCTAAATATAATGTGGTAATATAGTAATAATTTGCTCAGTTGTAAAAGGTATTTGTTGATCAACTATTGCTAGGCTTGAGTATGACGGGCTGTATTCAGGTGAGGAAATTGCAGTGTTTTCCAATGCCCAATAAGTCAAGTATAAAGGAAGGAATCCACACTGTTTTTGTCTCACAGTTAAACGGGTCCATGGTGGGAGACGTTCATGTCAAAGTCAGCATCGCCAGGAAGCAGCCCATGCTGGATGCTGCCACTGGGAAATCAGTGTGGGCTTCACTGGGTAAACACACTGCTCTCTATCGTTTATTTTCACATTGATCAGACTCTCCCGTGTGTGTGCTTAGCGTGGATTAACCTTCTGCAATCTCTCTCTGCTTTTGCAGCGGTGCAGAACAGCACCAAAGGCTCCTACAGAGACAAGAGGAATCAAGTCGTGTACAATGAAGATTTCTTGTCTGAAAAAAAATAGTTTTTTATTTTGACTGGTTGATTTTCACCTTTTTGTTTTTAATGTAAGCCAGCGGTTTAAAATCTTTGTTGCATGATGAATAGTAATCATGTTGTCTTGGTTGGTATTTGATGCTGCGTGGCTCTTCGTGTTAGAGCTTAATAAAGTGTATGCACAGAACAACAAATAGGGCCTAATGCATCATTTAGTCCGATGGGAATATGTATTTATTGTTTATCAACAGAAAAGCGATGGAAAGTAAGTTAACTGTGTGCTTCTAAAAAAATCCCACCATCAAAAATGTCCTTAATGTTTTTCAACAGAAATAAGTTGCATAAGAGTGAAGATACTTCCTCATCCTACTTATCAAACCTTAGTAAAAACACCTGTGCGAGTGGATAGGACACATTTTATTCTCACTGCAGTCAGTCAGATCATTACATATATTTAGATTTAACGTTTCAGTCCTACTAATAAAACAATTTTCCAAGAGACTGATAAATCCACAGGACGTTTGTCACTGAGGACATTTTGACATCTCACAGTATTTAAAGCACAGTTCCATTCAGCCTCTTTGAGTTTCCAGGTGTCGGCTTTAATACAACGCAGCCATTGTCACAGTAATACCCAGGCCACGACAAGTCAAGATGTCTGTATAACAATGTTGAGGACTGTCATTGACCCCACATCACACACTGGCTGTTTATTTGTATGCAGATTGGAAACATGTGTAGCATTTGAGGGCTTATATTGGCAAGTAGGTAATCAGAATAGTTTTCATCAACGTAAAACCAATTTAAGAATCATTAGAATGAGCCCTTGATATCTAAATAGAGAGGGTTGCACCGCTATGTTTCTACCGCAGCCCAGCAAGACAAACCTAAGCAAGAGCCTTTGTGTTCTTTGTTACATAAAGGCCAGCGGAGTGCTCTGACACGAGCCTCTGGCCCAATCCCAATCTCCACCCTTATGCACTCAGACTTAAGTGCTTCTGCTCAGGGTTTAGTTGAGGGTTTAGATGAGTTCGCTGGCAGACATTTTATTTGAGAAATTACTTCCAAGGGAATTACCCACAATTCATTGCGATTTGGCCGTAAAAACAAACCAAGGAAGATGGCACTTGTTCGGACTGTCATTAAAATCTATACATTTAAAACGCCAAGGATTAAAAATGGAAAAGAAAGCACTGATATTTAACAGTGGAAACATTATCTGAAATGACCTCGTCTTATGAGGAGAGACCTGGGAGGCGTAAAATGTAAGAGACAAATACCCTCAGTTGTAAAACCTCTTGTAGATGTTGTCATGGTGACGTGACATGAGGCAGCAAAGTGCTGGAGGGGTATTGGGATCGGGCCACAGTGACAAAACCGCGGAGCCACGGCTGACTGACAGACTCCTCAAGTACTGTTACGTTGTTACCGGTATGGTACACACAGCGTCAGAACGAGGTGAACTGCGTTACCACGGCCTTGCACTCTGCGTCTCACGTCACCGCACTCGCAGAAAGGGAGGAGTGACTGTTCTACTGTTCTACTGCAACCAAATCCCACACACGGTCACTTTAATACACACGCGGGTTATTGTGATCCCCACAGACTGACCCCCCCACTGGACGCCCGAGTAACTTAAGGCAATTTAAACACCGACTCCCTGTGACGCTATGCAACCTGCTCGGTAACCAGGCACTCTTGCTCCTCCTCCCTTATGGTTCCGGTGGCCCCCTCTCGCTCCCTCTCCTCCTGCTCGTGCAGAGAGTTCTGCCCCGTGGTTTTCCCGTGCTGTTCCTTCAGGTGGCGTCGCAAGGCGGGCTTGTGGGCGAAGCGGGCGTGGCAGTAGGCGCAGCGGTGCGGCCGCTCGCCGCTGTGGAGGTTCATGTGGTCTATTAGGGTGGATTTTTGGGTGAACGTCTTGTAGCACAGCGGGCACTGGTGGGATTTGCCGGTGCCCCGGTGCACGGCCATGTGTCGGGTGAGGTTGGCCGAGTGGTGGAAGTGTTTGCCGCAGCAGGGACAGGCGTACAGCAGGTGGGTGGAGCGCGAGTGGATGGCCAGGGAGTGGGTGGAGGGGAACGTCATGCCGCAGTGCTCGCAGATCACAGGCCCGACGACGCTGGAGGTGGATCCCACCACCGCGACGGACTCGTCGCCTCCCTCGTCCGTTCCAACAGCCGCCATTCCCGAACTCCCCTCACCGGATTCCTCCAGCGCGTACGGGCCCAAACTGTTGCCGTCCATCGCCGACACCTTGTCTCCGCGTGTGTCCTCCATGCCGAAGTCCAACTTGGGGAGTTCAACTGAGATGTAGTTCTGCGTCTTGTGCCCTTCTTGGTTGGGGTCCAAGCCGAAACCCTCTCCCATCCCCGCAGTCGACAGGTACCACATATCCTGGTGGTGAGGCAGGCCCGGGGGTCTTTTTTCCTGTGTTGACACCAACCGTCTCCTCTTGAAACCCCGCCCCCTACCCCTCGCTCGGCCCCGGCCAGTTTTAGGGTCAGGCAGCCTGCGCCTGAACGCGCGGAGCCCCTCCATCGAAAGTCCCCCCATGCTGAGACCCTCTTCTGTTGGATTCAAGTTGTATTCGCCGCGTTCTCCTCCCATCATGATGCCCTCCGTCTCCGGGTAACACGCATCCTGATGTCCGTACGAGGGCGCTCCTCTCTCCTCGTCCTCCTCCTCCTCCTCTCTGTTCATCTGGTCGGCGTCTTTGAAGTAGACTCTGTACACCTCACAGTTCTCCTGTCTTGCTACTTCCTCCTCGTCTGATGCATTTACCTGCAACAGAAAGGAAGACTGAGCAAAGTGTGTAGTGCTGTCACAGGGTGGTGTAAAAAATGTGTGCTGTTTGCATATATTATATATATATATTAGTGCTGAGCAAAGATGAAAGAATGAGCGCTCAACAAAAACGCGTTCCGTTATAGGATTATTGTACTGGTACTATTCGGTTTGCATGGGGCTATCATGCAGTCATAAACACCAATGTCGCAATTTACATAAGTGACCAACCTGAAGCAACCTGAAGTGACACAAATCCTTGTGCTTCAAATACTTGTAAACCAACCAAGCAATATCAAGTTGCATTAGAAATGTTTTTATCATTTTTGTTTTAAATTAGCCCATCTCATACTGTTATACTTTGAAATTCTTCTAATTTAATCATTTAGCTTTTTTATCTCCATTTGTAAAATCTCTAAAAGGGATCTATATTTTAAAAAAGCAGTAGCGCCGTGTGCAAAAAGTGAGGCAGGTTCCTTTTTTTAGAACGGCATGTTCCGGTGGTCGGAGGCAGGTTCCTTTTTCAGAACGGCACAAGACGATCTCAGTTGGGTATTTGGTCTCACCTCCTCATGTAAATGAGTATCATCATGACCGTGGGTTTGCCATAAATGTTTTTTTCTAACATTATAGAGAATCTGGCACAACACAGCGACCTGCAAGTAGCGCAGCGTCTTAAACAAAGCGATGTGTGTCTTAATGCGATGCTTTAGAAATTAACACAGAGGGATTCTGTATTTGCTCATAAAGCCTGAAACGGGTCATTTGACCGCAGCTGGTCCTGTGTTTCCCATCATTATAAACAGGGCGGCATCCCCCCCCCCGCAAAAAGTCTGCTAATGAAAACCAGTGAACGGAGAGCACCAGCTCTTAAGTTATATAGCATGCGCGGTCGACACATGTGTCCCTCTACTGTTTTAGCGTTCCATCTCTAAATATCGCCATCTTCCCATCATCCAAACGGCAGGTCGTTAAATCTGAAGGCACCTTCCTATCATATGAACGGTGCCGTTCTGAAAAAGGAACCTGCACACCGACCACTTTTCACACTCGGCGTCACTGAAAAAAGGTCTGTATTATCGTTATGATATGAACCACGCCGATTAAATCGATACCACGCTCACACACAGACCTTAATGTGCTGCTCATCCAGACTTCCATCGTGGTGGTGACTGCTGCCCTGAGCAGACATGTCGCCGCCGCTCTCCTCCACTGAGCGCACAGGACTGTGTGAGCGCCCCGGCGAGGGTCGGCCAGTGGGAGGAGAGGCCTCTGAATGAACGCTGTCGCTGACGATCAACAGTCGAGCCCCTCGCTCCTCTGAAGCCATCTGGGAGGACGGTAAAGAGCAAGAAAGTGGGTTGCAAAATACAAAGTTTGTCACATATTTCCTTCTGGACTTTTTTCCCTTGACACGGACCAATTTAACATGACACATGTTCTCTTCCATGTACAATATGAATATGACAGCCATTTAAAACCACAGTTATGAAGTACTCACCTTCAGGGGACTGGGGCTCCTTAGATTCACATACTTCTTCAGTGCTCCTCGGCAGCGCTCCACAATATGCTCCATCTGCAGGTAGCTGGCGGCGGTCAGGTAGTTGACAATCTCCTCTGGGTTAAACTGCAGGACGCCAGTGTAACAAGACTGAAGCAGATCGCACACCACTGTGGAGCTGTACAGCTGCGACACCTGAGTCATACCGTGAAATGAAGACCACAAAGCAAGTTTTTAGTCAGTAAAAGAGCTTTACAGAAGACCAGAGCGCGACTTGGTGCGTGTTGACATTTGACTACCTGAAGCTTGGGGGACGGGTTGAGGAGGAACTGGTCCCTTAAGAAGGGCGAGCAGGCAGCCAGCACCACCTTATGTCCCCTGAATGTCAGGTTGTCGCTGGCCACAATGGTGATATCACAGAAGTGCTGGCGGGACCTCAGTGCGTTCAGGTGCTTCAGGGTCGTGTCCCCATGGCCCGGTAACCGGAAACATAGCATCTCCATCTTGTCTGAAGAGGAGTAATGTATTCATTGCAAATAACTCAGAGAGGTCTCTATATCTTTAAATTAAAAGATGAAAAAGATTACACTTAGTTTATAAGACATACATAATGGCTACCCATCTAAACAACATTGAAATCTGAGATCTACGACAGTTTACGCTTCTGCAGAGCCTCATGTGAACTCACAATTACACTGCAGAGTTTGGACAGTTTAAAGTCTAGGCATAATGAAATGTTTGGTTTTAAGGATCAATCAGTTTCATGCGTATGTTTTCTGGTGTGGAAAGTTTCAAAAGACAAATCAATTATTGGCGAATAAACAGAAATGTGCCGCGGTTACACTCCCAAAGGCCTGATTGGTGCAGAGAAATTAAATGATTTCATATGTTATATATTTGCTTTATTACTTAGTCATACGATGGTAAACTGAGTTTCTTTGGATTTGGGTCAGATATTCGAAGGAAAAAAGGCCCCGATGGACATTTTCTATTGTTTACTCACGAAGGTATTCAGAAACATTTTGGATTAAGGGTGAGCAAAACTGCTAAAAGTCATATCTCAAACTAAAATATTCATGTTTAACAACACAGACTGATAATTTACCACTGTAGGTAAATAATCTACATTTAAAGTGATCTGTAAGAGAAAAAATTATGTTATGACGGTCCAACAAAAACAAGCAGTCATTGGTATCAACTCAGGTATTAAAGTATTACATGTTTTAGTAGTGTAATTAAGTACAGTTACAGACAATAATTAAAGAGTCCTCAGTAATGTGGATGTTATAGTGACCATGTTGGTAAAGGAAAAATAGCAGAACCGCTTTGTATCATCAATCACCTCGATGTACCAACTGTAATGTGGGCTTTAACACCCACACGATACCCAGAAAAACAAGACTACATCTCGTCTGCGATCAAGATACTGATATTATATATAATATAATATAATACGGATATATTTTCCAGCCCACGTGTCACGGAAAACGTTAAGATGGTTTTGTGTCTCACGTCACAAGATCGATATTTTACAGAGGATTTACTTGAGGGACGTTAGCTAGCATGTGTAAAGCTACGCGAGGAAAGCTAAACACTGATAGAGTTAATTTAGCTACGTCCATCCACTCTGTGGTAACAATTAGAACATTCATAAGAAAACAGACTTCTGTGAAAGGTTAACTCGAATGTTATTCTTCATTCCCTCTGGCCTAACGTCATCCGGCGTTACCCGTCTGGATGTTAGCTAACCGCTTCTAGCTTTTTAGTTAGCTTATAGGAATCGTCTGATATGCGGTAGAAGCAGATATGCGGTAGTACCAGCGGTAGAAGCGTCCGAGAGCTCCGAAAGAAACTTCGCCGTCCCTCACCTCCGCTTTTCCTTTCGTTGGATTTCTTCTGGGCTTTAAAAAACAGCAAATGGGTGCAGAACTACCGCTAATTCAGATACTCTTAATTAGCTGTGTAATTCATCATCCCTACTGCTACAAGCTAACGTTACTATCCCAATTTCAGTTTAGTTTTGGCCTCTTTTAGGGGGGGCATCTCCTAATGAAAAATAAAAAACACCCGTCTTTCGCCACGAAACTGACTTTGAATCGGTTCTTATGGGATGATTCTGACGATAGTCAGTAGTAAAATACGAGTACGCACGCTGACTTCTGATCAGTTGTTTTCAAAGCCGATGCCCGGGGGGGCGGGGCTAGAGGCGGTGACGCAGTACGTTACCTTGATGCGCCTCGGGAAACATGGCGGCGTCTGAGACAACGGCGAAGGTAGGAAACCCTCTGCACAACAAACCCGAAATATAACGCACTTTACGTTCACCTATGAAGGCGCAAACACATTGCCATTCATAAGAAAGACGAGCCAATAAAGCTGCAGTCTGGCACAATAAAAGCTGTATTTAATTGTTGGTTGCAGGAGCTCTTTGTTGTGAGCTGTGCTACGTTGTTAGCCACGTTGACGTTAGCTTGTAACATTTAACGTTGTGTTGACTGACGTGAAATTGCTCGAATGTTGTTATCTTTTCAACATTTTCTCGATTAAATTATTGTTCGTCATCTTGAGTTGATTCTACCAAGTTCAGCTAAAACCTAGACCATCCTTTACATGTAATGCTTACACAAACTGGCGTCTTGTGCTCTGTGATAGTTGTGAGCTAACTGAAGCTTTTTAAAGCTGTCACTGTGTGAAATGTGACTACTTATATTCATTTCCATTTCACGGACGATTGTTGTTTTGAATTGTGTGAACGGTATGAATGGATCGATTGACTGATGGCGGCTGAGTGGAGCAGCCATTGGTCGGAGGCTTTATTTTACGATCGTGAAGGCGGAACTTCGATGCACTTTAACTTTAAATGTTGGTGGTTGTGAACAAAACGCGTTTGGCTGATTTTTATTGACACTAAAGTATTTGGTGTCCAGTGACTTGTGATTATGAGGTCTGTCATGCTGATTGACACTGGAAAAACATTCTATAAATCCTGTTTTCTACAGCTGTATGTGGCAATCACCAGTAATGACTAAACCCTAAACTCACATTTAAAGTGTGGGATGGCATTCAACATCTCAATAGATGTTATGGGTTCCATAGTGTTCAGTTGGATGCATCATTACGTAACTCTAACTTTAGCTAAATTGTTTCACTTTTTTGTGTCTCATTGACCGTACAACAATGATTGACCCTACTGCAATGATTCAATAGATACAGTCCTGGTCTGTAATCCTGAATATCAATTGCTATATACAAGGACTAAGACATGATATTTCTGCTATTGGTGCTTTCTCTGTTAGGAGCCTCCCGGAGGAAATGACACAGAGACGCTTTCAGAGTCGTTAACTGGGCCAAGTCAAGTAAAAGGAGGTATGTCAACGGCGAGGTATAGTCATGTTGCAAATTGGTACCTTGAGGTACACAGACAAACTGAACTGGTGTGGGATTTTGTTATTGCTACTTTCCCAGATAATGCATCCTTCAGCCCACCTGCTGTGGACAAGAAGACGGAGCCCGCGTGTGGGATGCCACCAATGCTGTCGTCACATCCGCCTGGGAAGGATGCTTCGAGAGCTGGCGATGAGGGACTGAAATGGTCACCCGCCTCCTCGCCAACAAAACCAGCTGCTGGTAAGAGTTTGGATCCAGTCCAGCTTTTGTTGATATTATTGAAGAGGTGACGATTTATTTGTCTCACCTAATAGGACCTGTCACAAATTTGACATTAAGGAGATTTGATCCGGAACCATTAGCGCAAAAGATTTAATATTATTATTTATCCATGTAAATTGAGCAGTAAAAGAGATCCTGGAATAAAAGCTTTGTTGGTGTCAGATTGAATGGGATAATCAATACAAATTGATAAGCTTCGAAATATTCTTTTAAGAAAGCAATTGCTTTTTACCTCCCTTTTACAGGACACGCAGCAAAGTCCCTTTCATCAGTGTCCTCCTCTCCGTATTCCTCCTCTCCTTCCACATCTTCAACGTTGTCTCCTGGCCGGGCAAAAATGAGTGTTTCTGGACCTGGCAGTAGTAAAGTCGTCCTGGCACCTGCTCCTTCCTCCTCTGTCTCACCCTCCCCATCTTCCTCCTCATCTTCCTCCTCGTCCTCTGCCACAGCCTCTTCATCTCCTTCTGTCTCCCCCGCCCCGACCAAGATCCACCGGGCCCGCAAGACCATGAACAGGCCTCCACCAGGGCAGGTGAGCCCATAGAGCATGTGGTTAATATTATTATACATTATGTATACATTTTTTGTCCTTAACTTGAACCAGCATTCGGTATCTAACACTGGAATGGCCTTTCTTATTCTTGACCCGAGTAACGCTCTTCAAAGTGTCTTCTAAATATGCAGAAATTCTTCAGCCACTGAACAAGCGCACACTGTCAAGTAGTGGCACAATTCTTTGTTTCGACTTTTTCATGACAATTTGAGTCACTGACAATTTTTTGTTTCACAGATGAGCCAAGTTGAGGCACCTGTCGAACCTGTGACACCTTCAGAATCATCCAACTCTGAAACTGGTTAGTGTCTGTAGCATATTCACACTACGCGGTGTTGGCCTGCATAAAATAATTAATTTTCTATGAATGAAGATGAGTTGGTGTGTCTTGTATAAGTTAAGATTCCCGTCGGGATTGTTGTTCCTCGAATAGTTGCAAAAAGGAGAAAACTGGGTCAGTTATCGGATGGGACACCTGAGATTTCGGAGCACGTTCCAGGAAATGTTCGAACAATGGTGAGATTACGTCTTTGCAGGTACATCATTTACATTTACGTAGCTATTTACATGTAACAGGATTGATGTCAGTGTTGTCCTTTTTTTCAAATCTCAGGGAGAACCATTATTCCATAAAAAAGTGGAGTGTGTTACCAAAAAAACACCAGAGAAGAGCAATGGCAGTGTGGGGAAGTCAGAGGAGGAAGTAGCGGAGAAAATTCACATTTCCAGTCCGTCCGGTCAAGATTCAGAAACGGTATGAGGCTTAGATTTACTTATTGTCCGCTAAAAGAGATCACTCACTGTCAGCACATGCACATTTTGTCAAGCATCACGCTATAGCATCTGTATGTGCTGCAGGATTGTGATGGTCATAATATTTCGATCGTCAATTTGTTTCTTCTATAGTTTGAAGATGGTGTGGCAGAAATGAGAAAGCACACTAAAGAGATAGAGGGGTCGATGTCAGATCATGTGAGTAACTATAATAATATTTATGAAGCCAAATATTTTTGGCTTCATAAATGTCACATTTTATAGACTAATTTCTCCCTTGCAGAGTTCTGAGTGCAAAACAAAAGGAGCCGTCAAAAGTAGAGCTGAGAGCGAGGAGTCGGTTTGGCCGCAGTCGAACCAGGACAAAGAGAGAAACCCCCCCGAGGTGGTGGAGTCTGTGGAAGGTGAGTGACGTTAACTTGCGTGTGCCCATAACAGCATAGAATCATGCTGTATTTACTTTTTATTACATTTTTATACAGAAATATATTTTTCAAAAAGTTCAAACAGACCTGTCCCAAGGCTGACATAGATGCCAAAATACCTCTAATAAATATTGATTTGAGAGAGGTCAATGTATAGAACTGTATTCTATCATGAAATACTTTTGATTTAGTATTCAGTATCAGACTGCATATTTCTCATGAGTCTGTGCTCATACTCATTGTCATTTGGTCTGTCCTCAGGAGAAAGGCCGTCTGAGTACACAGAGGTTCCTCTGGGTGCTCTGGACATCGCAGCTGCTGACAGTCTGACACTTTCTCCTCATCACGGTACGTTTATGACGTGTCGATGTGAGTTGGTGGAAAATATAATTTTCTCTGTTATCATCGTAGTATAAAACAAAGCCGTCTTTCTAAGAAAGAGAGATTTTGTGACTATTAAAATATTCTTTCGTTTTCTATAACAAAGCCTAGCTCAGCCGTCAAAATGTTGATAAAACATTTTGTTTTGTATTGAGCACTTTTTAAAATAGACAGTTGCTTTTAGGCAATAAATGATCCTCTCCCCTCCAGAAGGAAGTGATGCGGGAGACACGGAGCGGCTGGAAGAGCTTCCTCTCTGCAGCTGCAGGATGGAGGCGCCTCGGGTCGACAGCACGAGCCACCGCGTGAGCAGACAGTGTATGGCCACCGAGAGCATCAATGGAGAGGTCAGTCATTGAAAGATTCGGAGAGAAGGACGGCGGCTCTGTGGTAGTTTGTAAAGCTCACAAAGGACTTTCCGTCTCTGCCACAACTCTTAACTGTGTAATCTTGTCTCTTCTCCGTTTTTCAGTTGAGGGCCTGTTCTGATTGGACGCTAAAAGGGGAGACCATGCGGCCGTCCAGTCGAGTGTCCCTCATGGTGCTTTGTGATGTCCATCGCGCACACATGGTCAAACACCACTGCTGTCCTGGGTGTGGATACTTCTGCATAGCGGTAGGCGGTTTTAAAACAGCTACTGATCTTTTTTTCTCTTCTTCATCCTCACTTCTTCTCCTCCTTGATATGCTACAGTCTCCTGTTTCTTCTTCACGACATCCGCCTGTTTTGTCTTTCAGGGCACATTTCTTGAGTGCTGCCCGGACCAACGCATCGCTCACCGTTTCCACCGGGGTTGTGTGACGGTGCTGGGCAGCGGGCGCAGCAGGGCAAATGGGGGCGGTATGCTTTTCTGTCCACACTGCGGGGAAGATGCCTCTGAGGCCCAAGAGGTCACGATCCCATCTTTCAGCTCAGCCACCGCCTCGGCCACCACCGTCGTCACCATGTCGGCCTCCTCCACTACCACCCCGTCCCTGCCGCCCTCGCTCCCCAAAGCACCCTCCCTCAGGGCGTCGACGGGGGGCATGAAGGACGGGAAGATGCCCGAGCGACCCGTCAGGTAAGATTGGATGATGTGCGGGGGAATAATTGGCAATGTTAAACTACATAAAATTATATTTTTCACACCTGTGCCATCCTTCACCGCCTCTTGCAGTGCACGTATGCATAGTCATGGTTTGGTGACGCTGG